TCGATGGGAAAATGTCATTTATTAAATAAAAAAATATGACAATGTTAAAATACAAATAAATTATATACATTAACTCATATATAAAACATATAATTCTTGTTAGGTTTAATAATCCAGTAAATTACAGTACAACAAAATAGACTATATTATACATGGTGGAAGGGGGTGAAAATAATACAAAAAAGATCAAAATGAATTAGTTACTGCCATTTAAAGTTTATATTTGGTTTCTGTTGATTTCACTCTATCTTTATATTTCTATATAAAGTAATTATAATATATCTTCATCTACAAGCCATCAAGTTTGCAGCACCAAGAATGAAAAACAAGAGTTCAAGAAGGGTAGAGATTGAGACATGATCTATATAAAAATGTTACGTAGGCAAGTCCTTTTGTTGATTAGAAACCCACAAGTTACATGTTCTAAATGATCGGATCTTGTAGACTAAGTGATGTTTCTAGTTCTACGTTTAAGTCACCTCAACATCAAATGCAATGAAAATAAACCCAATAATCTCCCTTTATAATGATAAAATACCTCTGATTATTTTTTCTATCGACTTGTATATCTAGTTAATGCAGGATTGATGTGATTTAGGTCTGAATGTATGACGAAGATTGTTTAACTGTTTATTCTGTAGAAAAGATATGAGTATGATTAACGTTAACTGAATCAAACTAGTGCAGGACTATGTCATATAAATAGCTAATCCTAATAGCTCTTTCTAATCAATAATCTTTTAGTTATTTCGTTCTATCCCCCGATTAATTATAATATCTGTTTTGTTTAACATCGATATTTCTGCCATTCCATTAAATGTAATTTCCCTGAGCAGAATAATAACATTAGTTCATAAGTCTGTTTAATTGATTTTACAGTGCAATATTTTTCTGATACGTTATCAAGAAATTTAGGATTAAGAATATTTTAGAGAAAACGAAATCAATAGAAACAACGACTGTGTTGACATTTACCTTGACCCATTTCTACTCTTTTGTACAGAAATCCATTGTTTCTGTATTGCATTTTTTTGCATGTTTTCTTTCTGTTCAATTATTTTGCTAAAGACATAACTCCTTCCTTCCATGGTTAAAATCTTTTTGATTTAGAAATCAACTGCATTTAAAACTATGATCTGTGAGTTAGTAAAATGTTTGTTGAGCAAGTCAGCATGATTAAGTCTAAGAGAGCTTTTCAATCAATATTGCTAATCAATACATTGATTATCTATTAGTTTATATCAAGGTGCTATGTATTATATCTTTTTTATTTGCTTTATTTTTCTATTGCATAATATGTTAAAAAATCTATAAACAAAACTAGAAATAACAAACATGAAGTTGAGAAATTGCAGATGCCTGTAAAATTTACATTGTTTTTTGTTAAATGTATTTTTTCAGTACAAACAAACAATCAGCAAAATCTCTCACCAGGACTTTTTCCTCTTTTGTTTGTTGATTTAAAGAAAGCCTATGCTACAGATAACCATGTTAACAAAATGATTATTTGAAAATTTGAAGAAGGGTTCATTTGTTAGAATTTCATTTCATGTAACCCAAAACTTCAGGTTCAGCTAATAATATGTACTCTTTACAATACTTGTCAGTATATAACAATCAAATAAATCAACAGGATCATGTGATTTATTTATCCTTTGTTTCGGGGGTGGGGGGGTCACGGTGGCTAAGTGGGTAAGACGCCTCGAGGTCGGGTGTTCGATCCCTGCATTGGCCGAGAAAGTTCATCCAGATTTTCTGGCATGATTCTCCCCTTGTCAGTGATGCAGGATGGATGGCCTGACAAGGACAGCTGTCTAGTCGTTTGGATGGGATGGAAAACTGAGGTCCCGTGTACACATTGGCGTGCACGTGAAAGATCCCTTGACAGTTGGAATTCGATATAAGAGTAGGCCATAGTTCCGCTGTCCGGGAAAAATTTCCCTCATAGCACACTGTATGGCGTATGCCCGTCTTCATTAGCCCAGTTCAGAGCAGAACAGTAGGACGTTAAACCCCATTTCCTTTCCTTTTCCTTTTATCCTTTGTTTCAAAGAAATTTCAAGTTCAATGTGGTGCCCATTATATGAAATTTGGAGTAGTAAAATGACGCAAACAATGTAGACCTGAATTTGAACCATAACGGAACAAAATAAACAAAGACATTTTAACAACATTAGGACCTGAATTTGAATCAGAAAGATAAAACATAAACAAAGGATTTTTACATTTCCTTGAACATGAATATCAAAAAGGAGAAATGATTGAACACATCAATAACTGAATGTGACAAAGCCAATTGTTGAAAATTATGATTTATTATAAAGTCCCACGAGAAGGACGTGCAAACACAATAAAATATGTTATGCATTGATGGTTTGACATTAATGTTTTATATTCTAATGATGACTTATTGTCAGAAACAATTACTTAAACCTGCATTATTGACACAACTAGTGTATGTCAACTAAATGGATTGATAACTGAGTACAGGAACCTTTTAATCTGAAATAACTGGAGCAAAAGCAGACGTATTCCCCAGATAACACCAGTGGTACTGTAATGATAAACTGCTACCTATATATGTATCCACATAATGATGGATCGTGTTGGGTATGCTCGATAACTTGTGGAATCAATCAAATTAAAACTCAGGTATATAACCTGCTTTTGGGGGCGGGGTGTAGGGATGGATTATGGGAGGGCAGATTTGTATTGCTCCTGGGGTAAAAAAAAATCTGTTTATTTTCAACTATTTCCGACAACTTCTTTCAGAGAACTTATAAAACGCATTGAAGCACTTTGGCAAAGAGAGTCCTATTGTGATTATTCGATTATACAGTGTTCATCCAAATAGAAGCTTTTGATGATTACAATGGGAGTTATTGCCCATGGTTGCTTTGAAAAATCTTGTGAAGCCTCTAAATGCTAAGCCTTAGCACATAGACTGTCCAAACCACCCTAACTACCGCCCCAAACAGTCACATTGAATACAAAGGTCAAAGGATTAATTGTGGTGGAAGCAAAATTAAAGTCCCATCAATACAAAGTGGTGAATAAAAGGAGATAATTACGTTATTTGAAGTTTTAACACTTAGACCTCGGTACAAACTGCAAAACATTGTAGGCTATAATATGCAATATAATTAGAAAATTTATGCTGTAGTGTTTCGATCTGCTGTATAGTCAAGGGATCACAAAGCTACTGGTTGGCATATTTTTCTTTGCCTAGAAAGCTTGAATATGTATATTTTTAAAAATTTCAGCCCCAGAATCAGCTTCCAATCCACATGGCCTGTAGCCGAACCCATGGCGCATTATTGGCGGTACAAGCTTTACTTAAAGTCTCAGGAAAAGATGCCAGATTACTTAAAGATAAGGTTTGTTTTCATTCAAAAATATTCAAAAATATTATTTTTTATATGCCTACCTTGTCATCAATATTCAAATAACAATTGAATATTCAATTCTTTTTAAGAAATTCTGTTTTTGATATAACACTTTGAGTATTCAATTCCATTTTAGAAATGACACTTAAGTATTCAATTCTGTTTTAAGACATGACACTTGAATATTTCATTCTGTTTAAGAAATGACACTGGAGTATTCAATTCTTTTTAAGAAATGACAGTTGGATATTCAATTCTGTTTAAGCTATGAATTATCCAAGCTTTTTCCAATTTTAATGGATGTAATTGAACTAAGATTCCTGTAGGAGATAAAAAAATAGTCAAATTCTATTCATTTTGTTGATACCACAAAATTCAAATTATTTAAATTAAAATATTTGAACAAGCCAATATTCTATCTATTAAGAATTTCTTTGACATTTTTTGTCATTATTACAATTAGAGTTTTCATAATTCCCAAAAATTCTTATCCTAAGATCCGGAGGAAATTTGTTTGCCGTCCATGATTCCTGAAACAAACAGTATTCGCTAAGAGTTTGCATTATCATGGTCGGCATCTGATGCACCCGTTTGCGAGAAAATTAGATGAATTTGAAATCTCAGGGTCCCGAACAGTGGAAACCTAATTACAATAGGCCTATTAATATTTGAAAAAAAGTATATGTGCATAATGATATCTAAATGTTTTTATTTTTTACCAGGCTGGATCCATTCCATTATTTTTAGCAGCTGAAGTTGGTAACTTGGCAGTGTGTCGAGAATTATTACTACAACAGACAGCAGAACAAGCCAAATCACAACGACCTGTAAGTTGTTATGATGGACAGATAGGTGCACTTGTCTATTACAATAATTTAACATTTAATACACACATAGATATATATTTTGAAATATTTATTCTAAACATCAATGTACCAAAGTAATTTAAATTGAAGAATTGTCTTGTTCTTGGAAAATTCTTACTGTGCATAGTATTTCAAAGAAAATTTGGAGTCATAGACCAGAAAGCAAAATGTAAGCATAATATCAAATAGACCTACAAGATGTTAAAAAGGCATTATGTGAGAGATAATCTTGCCTATTGCAGGGCATTTTTCTTACTTCAAATGATATATAAATTTTAGACATTTATTCACATGACAAGCCTATGGTCTCTAGAGCATCTAATGGCTTAGATATTGAATGGATTAGTCACTGCCATATCTGCATTAAATGCTAATATGGACGATTAGGCCAAATTCTTCTCGATAATGCATGACATAACTCATGGATGCTGTGGATAAATGACCTGACAATAGAGTTATAAACAGATATCTATTCTTATATGTTAAACGTTTTATTTAGATTTGACTGAAATTTTCAATATATTCATTTTTCTTTATCTATGTTTGAACTGTTATAGTCAGAATTTCCAGTGCCTTCTCTAAATCCTGCATAATGACTCTTTAATAGAAATTGTATTAAACCAATTTTGTCTTTAAGAGATAATCGTTACACTGTGACATTGTCAGTCTGACATATTACAGTAAATCTTTACACAAAGTTTTTCACAACTTGATGAGAAGTTTGTCTAGAGAAACTAGTTTGATTATGATTATTTTTGACAGGATAATGGAGACAGCGCCCTCCATATTGCCTGCAGACGTAGAGATATTGATCTAGTCAAATTAATGATTGATTACGGAACACCAATTGATCTGCAAAATGTAAGTACTTTAATTCTAAGTTATAATATTCAAGAAAATTTCGAGATCCTGCTGTGATAATTTAATGGCCGACTAGTTTACTTAATTGACGCTTATTAAGTTCTATAGAATTGTGTGGATCTAATTATTCTTGTGGCTTGTTTATTCATCTTCAACTGGTGTCCTGCACTATTGAAATGGGGAAGCAATGTCTGAAAATTCTAATGAATTTTTTCGGACAACACCGGGATCGAATACTGTATTACTGAGTATCAGTATTATCACTGAGTCACCGCTTGTCAAGAGAGGGAAGATATTTTTAAATTATGCCCGATTATTGCTATCAATATATTATTGATATTTGTGTGGTATAAGTTACTGTAGTGTGTCATTATTGCATGAGTGCTGTTTGCCAGCCTATAATTTCTAAAGAATATTGACAATAGTGTAAGACAATAGATGTTTTGAATATTTTATTTCTGATTGTGTTCCGTAATGGTATACATGCAGTGATATTTACCTACTAGGGATGCAGTAGTTTAGATAGATTGGGGGCGTATAAAGGGCTTCAGCACCCCCATCTGTGCTTCCCTATAGTACAAAAAACCTGAGTTAACTTGGGTTCATAGCCAAATCACGAAACTGAATATGATTTTGAATGAACTAATTATCTAGAATGAAAAAATGGCATATGATGTGTCTTGGCATTTTAAAGAGCATAAAATTACAATCCCACCAGACAAGTTTCAAGGATTTTGTCATTTTTATACAACCACATTTCCATTTGGACGTATATTGTCATCGCCCCTGTCCGTCCGGACCTCCATCCACAATTTGTTTGTAGACACTTTACAGGTCATAATTTGTAATGAATTTTGACGAAACTTGAAATATAGGTTTACCCCCAAAAGATCTTGGTTACTTCCAATATTGACATGAGTCGAAACGAAACTTCATGGATTATGGCCTCTGATGGTACAAAAAATCACGTTTTTAGCTTGTTGACACTCTAGAGGTCACAATTTTTATCCGATTTAGATGAAACTTGAAATGTATGTTTATAAACCAAAGATTTTAGATCCTTTCAATATCCGCGCATATCAAAACACAACTTCCTGGATAATGGCCCCTGATTGTACGAAAAATCACGTTTTTAGCTTGTGGTCCCCTAGAGGTCACAATTATTATCCGATTTAAAAAACCGTTCAAATATATCACCGTTACACCAAATTATATGTGTATATATCCTAGAGATTTCGATTTCTTTTGATATTTGGACATATCGGACCATAACTGCCTGGATTATGTCACCTGATTGTTCAAAAAATCGCTTTTTTAAGCTTGTTATTTGTCCATCTCTTGCAAAATGTGGGCGTATCTTGCATGGCAACTGCTTGTTGTATTCTAAAATCCGTTTTAAAAATCAATCAAATTTTGACGGTTTCAATTATACTTTAAACAAAGACATTGATTTTATGTTAGTAATTTAAAGAAATTGTCGAAATTTAGTGGTTTTTGTTAATAAAGTCTGATATTAAATGGTTATATAAAGCTGTTTTGTGCTGCGAAACAACACAAGTAATATTTTTAATAATACTTTTAATAATGTTTTCAGCCTTTTGAATAGTTATGAAAGCCTATAATATTGACCCCCCGGAGTGTCTCCATATAGTTAGTAAACACTCTCATAACCAGTCATTCGATAGCTAACACTTTATTGTGTTCAATATTGAATCATTATAACATGAAATATTTTAAGTAGAATTAAATACTCTTCTGGCCAGCATCTTCAAACAGTTCACATTATAACGTCATCAAAATTGATCGTCGTATGCCATTTATGGTTAAAATCGTGGAGAATTTTTGGGAATCAATAAAAAAAAGTAATTATATTAAAGAGTGTTAAAGAGATGAAAATATTATAAATTAGGTAGAAAATTAATGACAATATTTAGAATGGTTATAATAAAGTATAATAGTTACTGACTATAATAAATAGCTACAGTCAATATTTGTATGTATAGACTTTTGATAAGATGCTTTAGAATGTTAGTTAGAATAAAAATCAATATGCACCACATATATGTGACCTGTGATACTGATAGCAAAATGATACGGAAGTCGCAAGCCTTTTATGATACGAACAACAATGTTAGAATAGGCTTAAAATATATTTTCGATGATATAACACAAAAGATAGACAAGAAGAGTAAACATTTTCCTCATAGTACACTGCATGGCATATGCCCTTCTTCATTAGCCCAGTCAGAGCAGAAAAGTTATGCCCGTCTTCATTAGCCCAGTCAGAGCAGATGAAGACCCCATTTCGTTTGATTTCTTTAGTAGTGGGAGGAAACTAAAGCTATGAATTTGACTGTATCACATATCAAAAGCAAAGGTATTTAAATCAGTACAATGCCTGAGTTAATATACATGCAACATATTTCTCATTAGATCAAAGTGATTGCGACAACCAAAAATAGATTACTAGATATAAAATCAGTTACAAAAAAAAATAATAGACACTTAAAGGGAAGACCAACGATTTGAAACAAGGTTTCTATAAATTTTAAATATATATTTAAAAATTTTCCCTCCTGTAACACAAGCAAAAAAAGTTTTTTAGGCGATAACTAATATTTATTAAAACCAGAAGTGATGTAATTGGCTCACCATGCTCTCTAGTGTTTTTTTGTAAGCATATGGATTTGGTATCAGTTTAACACTGTATTTTGTTCTCGCGTCATTGTTTGACTGAACATCTGATCAAAGGAACTGTTTATTATAATTATATAAACATGAAATTATGTTTTTTAAAGGTTAATTAATACACAAAGCCATCAGTGTAATTTTGGGATTTAAAAAATATGTTCAAACCATGATCAGTCATGGATTATTCCATTTGATTTCATTGTGCACAAATATTAAGGAACTGTTCTACAAGTTTGTAAATATGAAAAAAGACAGAAATACAAAATCCTTGTATAAAGAATTATGATATATAGGCTGATTATATTGACAACAAAGTTTCACTTCGAAAGACAACATGTTTGAAATTTCTCGGCCAATCATAACAGGTTGAAGCTTCTCATGACAAACAAAATGGTGACCTCCAGTGACATCACATGGCCGAAAGCTCATTAGTGCACACGAATATAAGTTTCAGGCCACTTATTCACCGAGAAATTGGCACAGGCATAACTGCATAACAATAGTATACTTGAGAACATGGCCGACCAGCCATCAACATAAGCGGAAGATCGACTATTCTTCCACCAATAATTGTGATTATATATTACCCACCCCTCAACTTCAGCAGATGATCCAGTAGATCCACCATTCATCCACTTAGAATTGTGATAATATACTATTCAAAAAAAGTAGGGGATATTTGATTTTGGGGGCATAATACTAAAATATGCAAATGACTACGAAAAAAGTCACTATAGAACCTAACAGAAGAAACATTTCCAGTTACATGTGACGCCCAAACGCACCAATAGCTACCGCATGGAATGCAGGTGATGCTTGGGATCATCATGGGGGTCCAACCCAAGATTTGCACGATTCTGACTTTGAATGTTACAGTCATTGTGGCATTAAATTCCAGGGTGGAAACATCAGTTTAATTGTTTTAGTGACCAGAAAACAAATTTTGATATGCGTCGGCTTACCCAAAATGAAAGGTTACGTGCCCTTGGCATGCTACAGATCGGCACAACACAGGCGGTTGTGGCGCGGACGATGAATGTTTCTCAGTCTGTCATAAGCAGGCTATGGTCCAGATACCGTGATACACAATCTGTACAGGACAGACCACGCTCAGGTCGACCAAGGGCGACAACTCAAGCCCAGGATCGATTTATCCGTACCTTGGCCTTGAGAAATCGTGTCATCACAGCAAATCAGATCAGCGCTCGTCTTCAAACAGACACTGGTGTGAGAGTGAGTGGCCAGACGATTCGGAATCGACTGCATAGGGGTCACCTTCGCGCCCGACGTCCTCGCGTGATCCCTTGTTTGAGAGATCATCACATTCAGGCAAGACGTCGTTGGTGTAGGGATCGTCAACACTGGGATAATCGACGCTGGAGCAATGTGATGTTTTCAGATGAGTCAAGGTTCACTGTTGATTTTTTGGACAGACGTAGGAGGGTGTGGCGTCGTCGAAACGAGCGCTTCCAAGACGTTAACGTCATCAGACATGATCGATTTGGGGGTAGTTCTGTTATGGTGTGGGGAGGCATCACTGTTGCTGGAAGAACGGCTTTACATGTTGTTGCAGGGCGTGTTACAGGCCAGTTCTACCGGGACAACATCTTGGCAGTCCATGTTGTGCCGTTCGCACGACGTCATGGCCGCCGTTTCATCTTCCAGGATGACAACGCAAGATGTCACAGGGCCAGGATCGTTACAGGTTACCTCCAACAACAGAACATCACCACATTACCTTGGCCAGCACTGAGTCCCGACCTCTCCCCCATCGAGCATGTCTGGGACATGCTTGGACAGAGGTTACGTCAACGTCAACAACGTCCTGCCAATGTCCAAGAACTTGCTGCTGCGTTGCAACAGGAATGGGACAATCTGGACCAAAATGACCTTAGACGTCTCATTAGGAGTATGCCACGTCGGATCAATGCTTGTTTGGCAAACAGAGGAGGATTTACCCGTTACTGACTTGGTTTTGATGCTGTGGTAACTTTGCTGTTTGACCCCGGGTATCATTTTACCCTTATAATGGTCAGTCTGTGCCTTACTTAGTCTAACGATCATTTGGAATAAATCGATGAATGTGAACTTCATTTCATTTTGTCATTTGTTTCTTCGTCAGTTTCATTAGGTGACTTTAATAACACTTAAAAATCAAATATCCCCTACTTTTTTTGAATAGTATATAATACCCATCCCTCAACATCAGCGGGTGATCAGCCATTCATCCACTAACAATTGTGATTATATAATACCCAACAATCAATTGTTCATCCACCAAGAATTGTGATTATGAATTGCATGTACATGTACCGTTCTGGAATTAATAAATTTTATTTTTGTAGGCTGATGGTCAAACAGCTCTACATTTATCAGCCTGGGAGGGTGATGAGGCTATGGTTAAATATTTATATAATTTACGTGCTAATCCTAATGTTACCGATAAGGTAGGATGCTTTTTATTTCCAAAAATATACTATATATTTTAAGGCCATGGACCACTTTAATGTATGTACTAAGACTGTGGACCTCTGTAGTACTGAGGCTGGTGCCATATGTAATAAATCTACTGGGACTGTGGACCTCTGTAATACATGTACTGAGGCTGCGGCCATCTGTAATGTATGTACTAAGACTGTGGACCTCTGTAGTACTGAGGCTGGTGCCATATGTAATAAATCTACTGGGACTGTGGACCTCTGTAATACATGTACTGAGGCTGCAGCCATCTGTAATTATTGTACTGAGACTGTGGACCCGCTACATGTACTGAGACTGTGGACATTATTTAACATTTGGATATTTTTTTGTTTTTCCTCAGTTTGATCGTGTACCTCTACATATTGCTGCTGAAAGAGGACATTCACATATCGTGGAATTATTGGTGGATAAATTTAAAACCTCCGTAGCTGCCAGAACTAAAGATGGTAGTACCTTAATGCACATTGCATCACAGTTTGGTCATCCTGATACAGCCTTGACCTTCTTAAAGAAAGGTGTTCCATTACATATGCCAAATAAGGTAACATAAAAATGAAAGAAAATATAACATCTATTTCAAAGCATCTTTGTATTTTTTTGTTTGTTTTAAGTTACAACCATCCTATATTTGTGTAAAATGTCGTCAACTATGACAATTCTTTCGAATAGTATATGTTCCTTTAAAATACCTAGTAAATATTTTATTGCTTCGAGTGGATTTAAACTGTTATTGTTGCTTTCTATTTCATTGATAAACTTAACCTAGTGTTTCTGACCACTGACAAATTTCAGATTTTTAACTTGTCTGTATATCTGTCCTTTACAACAATTGACTGTGGTTTAAATTTGAAGATAGTCGGGGCTGTAGATCCATTTGATGTTAAACTGCTGGTTCAAGGAGTTCACCTAACGCGACCATTGACCACTGCTACTTTCTGTGCGAATCATTTGTACTCTTAGGCGGTGATGCCTGTGGAAATTCCCAGATGAAACTAACACATTGCTGATTTGACCATTAGTGTAAGCGACTTCCAATGAAATAGTAGTAAATCAATCAAATGCGATTCCTGCATTCATATTCACAGTCAACGTTAGCGCTCAGTGTAAACAGAGCTTAAGACTAGGAGTCAGAGAAGATTATTTTGATGTATCTTTTTTACGAAATTCTTTAATGTATTTTCATTGCAGTCCGGAGCTGTCTGTCTACATGCAGCTGCCATGAAAGGTCATACATCAGTGGTTAAAGCTTTATTACAGAAAGGTGCTTTAGTTGATTCCAAAACGAAGGTGAGATTTATCATTCGTTTTAAAAAAACAGAATTAACATGAATCTCTTATAACTTATCTACTTCACTACGAAAATACTTTGTAATAATTCATTTATTCCTTTCTTTTTGTTTTATTATTCTAATTATGTACTAATAAGAATTTTATTTATTCAGGATGGTCTAACAGCGTTACATCTGGCTATAGAATATTGTAAACCACAGGTTGTTCAGACGTTATTAGGTTATGGTGCTGCTGTAGAACTTAAAGGTGGACAGGTAAGTAATAACAATACCTACTTCATTTAACAAAAAAATTAGTAATGAATTATGCTGTTGTTGTTTGATATTGATATGTTTGTAATTTGATTTCTTGTAATATGTAAAAATTGATAATATTATAAATTTGCAGTAAAACCACATTGGATTATGTTTAATTTATGATATGAAAATGTTATTAAGTGTTTCTATGATTGAATCTAGGCTATGGAAACACCCCTACATATAGCTGCTAGAACACAAGAAGCTGAGAAATGTGCTGAGATGTTGTTAAAATCTGGAGCTGATGTGAATGCAACAAGAGATGTAAGTATAACAATATATCATAGTAGGGGAGACCGGGGCACATTGAGCCAGTTTTTGCATCTAGTCCTCTCATTCCTCACCTAAATCATATGTTGGCTTAAATTCACCTGATGATGTTAAACACTATTATAGCTTACTAGCTGATAATATTTTAATTAAAATCAATTTAAAATTTAGATCTTATTTTGGTTATTGAACCATTGAACCACATTATGGGGCACATTGAATCGTCTTTAAGATAGGGCATAAGAAACAAAATAGAGCCAAATAACAGTGACAAAATGGTTTATTAATAAACAACATGCACAAAAAATGCTTTTTCATACTACTTGCACTTAAATTTTTCCAAATTAATAGAAAAATGAACAAGGGACAATACTCTTTTTGTACCACCAGAGTTCATGGGTTCAGGTAGGCACATTGCAATACTGTTTTCGTCAATACATGAAATGTCCTCAACGACAGGTTTAATAAACTTTCCTGGAGCCTTTAAACTTTGACGATAGAACGAAACTGTGGTGTAAATGATTCTGGCTCATCTGTTTCCGACTCATCTGTATATTTATCTATTATTTTACCAACATACAAAAATTCATCATCTTGCTTTCGCCTGTCAGTTTTACATTTATGATTTCATACCAGATCTTTAAAAAAAAAGAAACCTGTATCAGAAACCGATATTATAACAAATTGAGCAAACAAAAGAATAATAATTACATTATTTGGGGTACATTGAACCACCTGTTCAATGTGCCCCAAAGACTGTGGTTCAAACTACCCCGAGTGACTAATTTTAAAATTTTCTTAATTAAAAATGGTGTCTGTATCAGAAATCTGTATCAGAAACCGATATTATAACAGATTGAGCCTACAAAAGCTCTTTAATAATAATTACATTATTTGGGGTACATTGAACCACCTGTTCAATGTGCCCCGTAGACTGTGGTTCAAACTACCCCGAGTGACTAATTTAAAAAAAATTCTTAATTAAAAATGGTGTCTGAAATTTTGCCACAAAAAGTCATTGGGAGAAAAACTGACCAATGGGGTACTTTTAATGTAGCAATATTCACAAGGTATTATTTCATTATCATATAGAGAAACCTTAACATTACTTTATACTGAAAAATTTACTAAATCGCGTTGAAAACAGAAAAAGTACCATAAATACTTACTAGCAGATTGATGTCCTCTATGAATCTCTGTCAAGGCTAAGGCCTTAAAGGGGAACATCTCCCATTATCTGTAGCTGGATCCACATAATACAATAAAAAATATCATGGGTGGCTCAATGTGAACGTATGGTCAATGTGCCCCGGTCTCCCCTACATAAAACCATCAGGTTTTGGTGACAATTGTAACAAAGCCAGGCCTGAAAATAACTGTTTTTCTTGTACCTGAGAGCATGTCAGGTACTATTGAACTGTTTTTGTTGTACCTGAGAACAGGTCAGGCACCATTGAACTGTTTTTGTTGTACCTGAGAACATGTCAGACACTATTGAACTGTTTTTGTTGTACCTGAGAACAGGTCAGGCACCATTGAACTGTTTTTGTGTTACCTGAGAACATGTTACTCACCTTTGAACTAGTACCTTTCATTTTGAACTTTGTGTCAGACATTAAAAATGTCATTTAAACCCAGAAAAAAAGGACAGGTATCAGAGTTATATTGTCTGACAATGTCTGTCTGTAACTGGTGCCTTATTTCCAGACTTGAAAAACGCTGGTCGATGCTACATTTTATATAACATCAAATAAAGCCCAGTTGATGATGAATAAATACGGTGGGTCACTCTTTTCACGCGGTGATTTGATTTAATCATTTTTATTGTAGAATGGTGAGACAGCATTACATATAGCCTCACGACATGGTCAACTTGGAATGATAAAAGTGTTTTTAGAGGAAGGTGCTAATGCATCCAGTCATTCAAAGGTAATATTCATTTATCTTAATTTTAGTCAGGATTACACATAGATGAATTCCTATTTTAAAGCTTAATTTGACTATATTTGGTTACAAACGTCCAGTTTCAAGGTTTGATAGATATCTCATGTATGATTGTAAATTACTGTTTAAAGAAGCTAAGTCGCTAATATTTGGGATCTAGAAATTGACACAGATGTGTCGCAACGCATACAATAATGTAATATGAATGTATATAAATTGATTTACATTCAATCGTTTCTGTTTTTACTGTAATTTCTAATCAGTTAGGTTCAGCGACATACGCCAGTATTCTCAATCGAATTTCAATCTCTAGCTTCTGGTTATTTCAGTCTACGCCGATAGTATATATTGGGCATGCTCTCCAGATAAGAATATAGCGTCACCGTTTGACATGACTTGTGGAATATGCCTATCCTCGTTTTTTGAGTCCCTTATTACAAATAGCGCTGAAACGCATTATGGTACACGATTCGTGTACCAATTGTAAAATGTTTATTTTGTCTTAAATATTGGATATCAGAGGGCCATCTTTTCCCGGTAAGATCACAACATCAATGTTGATTTAAACTGACAAATAAATCGTGTTTATAATGTCGGAGATTTTGGATGATATTGAGTTAGAGACTTAGCTACTTTAAGTTCAAGTCTACAGAGATGACATAATTTCTTGGACCCAATAAGATTTAAATATGCATCTTGGCAACAATCTCAAAATATTATTATGCATATGAAAGGAATTGATATTGATATATTTTATTAAACATGTTAATTTCAGTCTGGTGAGACGCCATTACACACAGCAGCTAAATATTGTCATTTAAGTGTGGCAAAGGAACTTCTCAATTTTACATCAACCAGATTATCAAGATTAGATGCAGTTATGTTAGCCAATCATCAAAACAAGGTAGATGAAATAATTTACTTGATGCAACAATACCATGCCTAAGTTTGATAATACTCATTTACTATAGTTTTATTTCATCAGTTTCTTAATCTGATTAAAACACAGATCCTATTTCGTTTCGTTTTTTATAGTTCAAAATTTCGTTTTACTTGTCTTTACTACACTAGGATCGGGAAGAGTTGTTATGTTACCGGCAATTTGGTTGAAGTGAGGAATAAGCCAATGAAACAGTCTATTACGTCGACTTCTTGGCATGCCATGCGTGCAACTGTGGGGAAGCCACTAGAAATGCTGATTGAATATTCAATGTCTGACATCATAGGGTCAAAAGCCACATATACAACCCCTGACACGACCTTCAAGTACAACTTGTCAGATCTTCTTGTAGTGTAGGACATCAAAAGGTTAAAAAAACGAAACGAAATATAGATCTGTATTTTAATCAGATTGTCAGTTCCTTGACTAAGTTCAATAATGAAAATTTTCTGCGTTAATGTTTTCGGACACAATAACTCTGCTTCTATTTGAGCTATAATTTTCAAACTAGCTGAATGCCTTCCCTTAGTTCAATGAAGAGCATTTTCTGCTTAAGTTAAGCAGAGAAACACAATTTAATTGGTTGATGCTTTGAGAAACAGTAGCTTTGCTCTGGTTAAGCAGAGTGATAAGCAATTTGAGTAGTCAATTTGAAGCTCAACAACATTAATTCTAATTGATTGAGAATGGTTAAACTTGGCGTATATCATTACATCAATACCTTGACTAAGTTCGATAATGAACATTTTCTGCGTCAATGTTTTGGGACATAATAACTTTTATTCCAACTTGTCGTACATCATTAAATCACAGGGTTCCCACGGTCCTTGAAAATCCTTGAATATCCTTAAATTTAAAATTTCATTTTCAAGGTCTTTAATATCCTTGAATTTCGCGGAAATAGGAAAATATCCTTGAATTTCAGTTGAGATCCTTTATTTTGTTTCAAATGTCTTCAATTCCTTTTAAATATGAGATTATAACGGTAGTTGGTAATGTTTTGGTTATTTTTAAGATGAAAAATTGTAACTTTAGGCTAAAAAATGTCCTTGAAAATCCTTGAATTTGACGTATATTTATCCTTGATTATCCTTGAAAAAATGTTTGACGAAGCTGCGGGAACCCTGTATCAATACCTTGACTAAGTTTGAATACCTTGACTAAGTTCGATGATGAGCATTTGATTAGTGGAGCTTGACAACTTTGATTCTAATTGAGTGACAATGGTGAAACTTGGCGAAGATGATGGATGCTTTTTTAAAAGATAAATATGCAGTTAAAAAATTTGTGTCATCTAATTGAATTTTCAAATTGGTTGGGGACATCATTACTTACTTACTCCATTTTGTCGTCTTCTGAATACATTTCTGTATAGGTTGTGTTCAGTAGTTCGCAGATTGTGATTGGTTGACTGCAGATCAACTGTGCAATCAAAATCTCTGATATAAAAGATTCTTTATAAGGCTATGATTATCAGGACATTTCATTTCAGATGAATGAAAGTCAATTTCATTGCTATTTATCTCAAAGAAGTAAAATGTACAGGAGAGAGAACTGTTACTTACATCTCATTAACTTTTGTTTTTCTAGGAAGGTGAAACACCGGTTCATTTTGCTGCCGAATTAAAAAAGGAAAATGCTCATGGTGAATTTGAAGATACAGATATGATTAGACTCTTATTAGAATATGATGGTGATACAAACATTCAATCAAAACTGGTAAGAATAAAATCATCTAACTTATACACCACAACTTCTGCAGGACAATTTTACCATGATAGTTAATTTATATTATTATAACATTTATTTGCCATAGTGATATTAAGATATACACATCATTGAAGTATGGTCGTATATTGTTAATGCCCTAGAGGCTACTGTTATCATCCGATTGAATTGAAATTCATACAAGGCTTTTATGTTCACAAGAAAAATAATCCTATTGATTTTCAACAATTTGAATTAATGTCAGAGTTATGACCCTTGATCAATTTCAAAATTATTGAGGACACCCTAAAACTAAAGTAATTATCCAATTGACTGGAAATTTATACACAGTGCTCAAGTTGATTTCCGTCAATTTCAAATAACTTTAATAGCTAAAGTTATTGTCTGATACCGGCATATGTTAGCACTAGGAAAAACTAGAAGTCAATCAAATTTTAATTATTTTTGATAATTACTTCATGGGTTGTTACTCTTGATCAGATTTTAGTGTCTTGTAAGTACTCGCATTACCTTAAAAATAATATAACATGTGGGACATCTTTTGTGAACTACTTGGAAAAATTAAATTGCTGCGATGGGTGTATGTTTTGTTGCCTGTCAACCTATGTTTGTTATTCTTTGACAGATGTTGCATAACATAATCACATATTTTTAAATTCCAGTCTTAAAAACTTAAATTGAAAAATGTAAACAATTTTCTATTTCAGACTCATGAAAGTCCTTTACATTATTGTGCTAGAGCTGGTAATGCTAATATATTATTAGAGATTGTACATTTACTTGGTCCAACTAAATTACAAGCTGTTGTTAATAGACAAGCTAAGGTAGTTAGAATAATTGATAATTACAGACCAAATATTATAAAGCATATTATGGCAAATATAAGAGCAGAATTCCAAACAACTTTGTAGATTGTGTTGAGGTTTAATTCTCTAATAATCATTCATCTTAAAAACTAATGACTTAAACTGTGGTTATGTTCGTTTTTACTTTTTTAATGGAGCCACGGTGGCTAAGTGGGTAAGACGCTGGCTCACTAGCCTGAAGGGCTCATGTTTGATCCCTGCATTGGTCGAAAAAGTTCATCAGAATTTTCCCAAGTGGTTTCCCCTTGTCAGTGGTGCAGGAAGGAGGGCCTGACAAGAACAGCTGTCAAGTCGTTCAGATGGAACGGAAAACCAAGGACCCGTGTATCCCTTGTCAGCTGGCATTCGATATAAGAGTAGGCCATTATAGTGCCGCTGCCTGGTTAAAATTTCCCTCATAGCCCACTGCATGGCATATACCTGTCTTCATAAGCACAACCGGAGCAGAACAGTAGGACGTTAAACCCCATTTCATTTCATTTCATTTTTTTTATTTTATTAACAATAAAAATACAATAAAAAATTTGTAGGCCAAGTCAAATCATACTTTGTTTAAGAACTCAACTTTGTTTATCATAAATCTATTAATCTGTTGAGTAAATATGACAATGTTTAGCATATGTAATTATTACTTTGTTTAGCAAATCAGACTAAGACTTTGTTTAGCAAATCAGACTAAAACTTTGTTTAGCTAATCAGACTAAGACTTTGTTTGGAAAATCGTATTATTACTTGAAAGTCAGACCAATGATTTAAATGTTTATCAAAACAGACTAAGTTTAGCTAATCATTTTTTATTTTAAAGGATGGTAATTCACCACTGCTTGTAGCCAGTGAACAGGGACATCTCGAAATTGTTAGAATACTCCTAAAAAATCATGCTCGAGTGGATGTTTTCGATGAGGTGAGTTGTTAGATTTTCATAGGATTTTCGTAAGATTTTCAGGTGATATAATTGATGAAACTTTGATTTTTCTATGATTATATTATACTTCCAAAGTATTATGTAATTTCTATATAAACTGAGCTGTAGTGTGGCAATTCTTCATACTGATTTGAGGATTCATATTAACTGTAAATTTTTTTACAGCATGGTAAAGCTGCTTTACATCTAGCAGGAGAAAATGGTCACGAAGCGGTGGCTGAATTGTTACTTGCTCATAAAGCTTTCGTGAATGCTAAATCAAAACTAGGATTTACACCTCTACATCTGGCGGGCCAGAATGGTAATAACAGACTGGTAAAACTATTAATAGAATCACACGGTGCCCTTATAGACGCCTTAACTCTTGTAAGTTTATTATCCACATTTTACTGCCTTAAGCCTAAAAGACATAAATAAGTATAACTCAGATTAGTAAAATATTTTTTCCTATGAATGTGACAAATTTTTTATATATCCCAGTTTTTAGATATGTTTTTAAAAGTTTTTACACATAGAAAAACTCTAGATTTAACCGTGTGGATAATGTTTTACGGTTAAGTTCTTTTAAATTCCAATCCTATGCCAGGTAAATTGACTGACAGCCAAGTTCTCCAGTCTGTCAGTTTCATGGCCAGTCAGTCAAGACTGGCAAATACAACAGAAACAAGAGCCCTGCTTCAATGTGTACCGCTATTTTTTTGTACTATCCTTATTCCTATGAATAAAAGTTTAAAGAAAAAGTTAGGTATATCAAGGACAATGGTTTTATTAATGCCCTGAATTGAAATATTACTTGGGTTAATTTTAGAATAAAAGTACAATTAGATAATTTAAGGTAGTAAATAAACATCATTTTCAACATTTTAGACAAAGAAAACAACACTACATTTAGCTGCTCAGAATGGTAAAATGGAAGTATGCAGTACTTTATTAAAAATGAAAGCTGATCCTAATGCTACAGATGACGTAAGTTATATTTTATATGATGTTTTATGTTTACTATCAACAGTTACAAGTGTATTGTTTTATATCTTAAAGCCGTTGAGTTTGAATTTTTTGCAATCTACTAGATTGTAAATGTTAAATACCAATCCAACAATTAATGTTTTAATTCTGTTCACTATTTAAAAAATTTATGTATAATAGATTACGCAATAATTGATATCCACTGCAGATATGAACAAGCAAGCGCAATATATGACTGTTGGGTAAAATCATTATTATGAATCCACGCCAAGAGATTATCTTCTGTTCGTAATTGGGTTTTGTTTTCTTAATTAGATGTTAAATAATCAAGTACATTTTAGTGTGAATAATGTAATTTTTTCCAAAATAAGTAATGCTCAGTTGAATTGAGTGAGTGTTAAGCTCCCTTTTCCTCATTATTTGTCTCACTAGTTTTTGTGATTACATGTTTGAAGTGATATTAACCATTGATTGAAAATATTGGATGTTTTTGTTTTGTAGAGAGGTCAGACACCGTTACATCTAGCAGCTGAATATGATCATTCTGATGTGGTCAAACTGTTTTTAAAATATCGACCAGAATTAGTCACAATGGCTAGTACTGATGAGGTAAATTTATTTATAATTTGAGTATTTTATTTTTTTCGTATCTCTCATTGCTTAGACAAATGGCTCTAGGTTGTTTAAGATGAGAATTCAAGTCTTGAATGGAAGATACTACATTCCTCTAATAATCAGAGAATAAGACAATTACACTTTATGCTTATGTTTTGCCCTTTCCAAGAAGAGACAGACATTTTTCTAATTTGAAAAGAAAAGGGTTAAATTGAACATATTTGGCAGTTGATAGAAAACAATGATTTTCTTTAATCTTATGTTTGTCAAATGGAAGATACAGAGACTGTCTGAAATTTGGCTGAAGACAAAACAAATAAAATACATGTAGCTTTATCAAAATTAACTTTTTATGTCTATCAAAATAACTTTTAAGAGAACAAAAAATACATACTGATTTGTCTATCAAAAGTAGAGCTTTTGCTCAAAACTAACTTAATATGTCTTAAAACAACTTTTAGTGAACATAAAATGAAATCTTATTTTGTTCCGACAAATGTGCATGTGGTATTAATAAAATAATGAATGTATATTTATTATTATTATAGAATGGTATGACCCCAGCTCATATAGCAGCAGCTAAAGGTAGTGTAGCTGTAATAAAAGAATTGATGCGTTTTAATAAAGTCATGGTAACAACAGCCAGAAATAGGGTAAGATATTATCACCATATCTGGCTGAAAAGTTCTAAACCTGAAAAGGATAGATCAATGAGTACAATCATTGAACGAATCATAGACATAAGAACTTTAGGGGATGATGACGACCCTGCTTTTCCACAGTAAAGACGTGGGCTGCAGAATTTAAGCATGGCAGAGAGAGCCTTGACAATGACCCGCATCCTGGAAGGCCATCAACAAAAACCAGTCAAGAAAACATTACTCAGGTGCATGTCATGGTGATGACTGATTGACGATTGACCACTTGACATATTGGTGGTGTTGTGGGCATCTCTCATGAGAGGGTTGAGCACATTATCACCAACAAGTTAGGAATGACAAAATATGAGTTTCAACAAGATGTGAACCAAAGCTCTTGATTGCAGATCAGAAACGTGTCAGATTCCTGACGTCCCTTGATAATCTGTGCAGTTTTGAAGCAGATCCTGATCATTTTTTGACCAGATTTGGCACTGTCAGACTCCCACCTGTTTCCAAAAAGGAACTAGTAGGTCATCATTTTCCAGGTAATGATGACGTCATGTCACTGTGAACGAATTTTTTAGCGTGGCTGAAGAAGATTTCTTCCGACCAGCATCCAGGCTTTGCAAAATCAGTAGCACAAAGTGTGTACACCTTGAAGGGGACTATATAGAAAAATAAATGGAAACCATCGACTTTGTACAGGTCTTTCACAGATAGGCTTAGAACTTTACAGCCAGCCCTCGTACACCTTATAATCAATTCTATCCGCTATTTGTAACTTTTTTCACTTTTTTGGCAAAAAATTTACTTTTGGGTAATTATGCTTGAATGAGTAAAATAAGTAATTTATGTAGGGAAATGAATTTATAACTTCTACTCAGTTATTATACTTGAATGAGTTAAATCAGTGATTTATAGGTTATTGAATTTGCTATTTAAGACATTATACATAAATGAGTTAAAACAGTGATTTAGAGAGTGAATACATTTAATAAAATGTAAGTTATTTGATATTTTTAAAATTTAATTATATGTTAGGAAAGAATGCAAAAAATATGAATGAATTATGTGTTTAATTTCTCTGTTTAGACCAATAATTCTACAGCCCTACATCTGGCAGCAGCAGGTGGACATAAGGCTGTAGTAGAAACTTTAATAGAAACTGGTGCCTCGCCTACTGATGAAAACTCTGTAAGTATATTGCTCACTTTTATGGCTCGAACATAATCTTAATTCACCATGGTATTAATTCTAGCAAATGTTTGACCAAAAAGTTACCGTAATCTTTGGTGTATTAGGCACACTTTTTTTTACCAAATATTTTATTTTCTAGAAGGGGTGCACCTTATACATAATTTGCATCTTTATTTGATTTCATGTCAATAAGTTCCCGACTCATAGCCCTCTGACATCATTTGTTCGATTCACCTAAATTAAATTCACAACCCACGGCCCTGTAACCATGCTCTTTAGCGGTTCGTCAAGTAGCCATTCTGAATACATTATTTTTAAAAATTTGATGGAAGGTTCGTTGGTATATTCTATACATTGATGTAAATTTTACATCTTGCCATTTTAAGTTACCAATAGTTTCCATGCAACTGGATTCACTGATTGATCCATTGTTATAATTCCATACATTGATGTAAATTTTAAATCTAGGGGTTTTAAGTTACCGATAGTTTTCATGCAACATGCATTCTCTGATTGATCCATTGTTATAATTTACTGGTATCGTTAATTATCTACCACTGAGTTGTCACCGTATGCTTTATGAAGTTGTTTGTAATTAACATAATTATTCTTTCATAGATTGGCGTTAAATATACTATTGTCTTGTGTAACTGATAGATCTAAATGAGTACGCATGTAGTTGGTGGCGCCATTGACATTATCGTTTGATTGTCAGTTGTTTGGATAGCATATGTGGTTTAAACTAGAATAGTCGTTTCTCAAATTAATTCTTTCAAGTCGGTAGTAGCTGATCACAAAAAAATGATTTCTATGGTTTATATTTCATTTGTTTATAATCAATACCTAACCATTTATCACAGATAATTACAGGATGTCATATTTTTTGTGGGTGGAACTTTAACAACAATTTAACTACAAGCGCCACACGTTTACAGTTAAATTGGAGCAAATTGTTTAATAATGTTGTTTTAATATAATTAATATAAAGGCTTATGCAATTTTAAAAAAATATATACAGTTTGATATGCCATTCAAAATGTATATATAAAGCTTGATAGGATGAAATATTGGTAATGATTATAATGGTAAACGTTCGAGTTTGGCCGAATTACTGGAGCTCGCTGGAATAATGTATGGTATGGCACGTGTTTCACAATGCGCTGTAGAAGGGTGCGCCTAAACCATACAATTTTGTTTTTTCCTAGAACAGCTCTGCCAAACTCACCCTGCACCTTATCTACGCATGTGCCTAATACACCGAAGAATACGGTATATGAAATCAATTTTGATCCCATATCAATAGATTTGATTACCAATGATGTTTAGTTTGCAACATGTCATCAGTTCATCTTGTGTCTATCTAAATTAAGGTCATATTAAAAAAACGTTCTGGATCTCAGACACTGATGTGTGACTTAAAAAATGAAAGATTAAAATTTCTTCATTGATCACGTTGATATTTCCTATGGTGAATTCAGCAATGTCCAAAACCAAAAACAAGGCCTAACAAGTCTTCTCTATATGATAGAAACAAGAAATGTAGGTTAGATGCCATCTTGAGGATAGAATTGAAATATCATTCATGGGAAAAAGATGATGTCCTCATCAAAGTAATGGAATATTTAGATGGCTGTAACTTTTATTAGGATTTCTGGCTTTGAATAATTTTTAGACCAATATGCTATTTAATTAATATATCATTTTGTCAGGATTGTTTTTCATGATAAAAACTTAAAAGGTGCAGATGTATAATAAATAAAATATTATAAAGGATAATCTTTCTTGATATGAAATAACAATTTGCTTCTGTTCTTTTTTAGGATGGAATGACTGCTATTCATTTGGCAGCCAAATACGGACATGGTCAAATATTAGAGGCCTTGAAGGGTCAAATGTCTTGGAAGATTACAAGTAAAAAGGTAATATTTTGATACTTGAAATTTATTAAAAGTAAATATAATATTCAATTGAGATTTTAATAATTTTTGATACAGTATGTTCAGTTAGCCATAGATAGGTTGTAAAGAAAGAGTATGTTTTGTTTTCAGACTGGATTAACAGCCCTTCATGTTGCCGCCCATTTTGGACAAATAGATTTTGTTCGTGAAATGTTAACTAAAGTACCGGCTACTGTCAAAAGTCAACCTCCCAATGATGAATCTACAATCAAAGACATAACAGCAGAGGTAGGTTATATTTATCAAAATAATCGTAATATATGTACGCCTTTATAAAAACTTTTCACCTTAGATAAGGCTTGAGAATTTATTGATTTTCGCCAATACATGCACTTTTATTTATATGTTGATAACCTTTTGAGTGTTTGCTATAATTGGTTTCGAATTGTTGATTAGTAGTTCACAGTTGGATAAAAAGTATTTCACAATTAGAGAAAAAGTCAATATGTCATTGATTTTTTTTGTGTAGACATAATTATGAATAAAACATGACACCAGCACAGCAGGAAATTTAAATCAATATATATTGTAAATGCACTGCGTTTCTTAATTACATGGTCACACCCAATATTGTTTGCAGTTACTTCCCTTTCATGCTTAATACTTAGCTTGCTTACAGACTTCACCCAGCTTGTTCACATATGCTATTTATGTAAATGTGTACCAATTTTGAATGCGGTATATGTATATATATGCACATATTTGCAATCAGCATTCTTCAATAACTTCCAGTAACTTACAGCATATTTGAATAGTTTGATGAAATGTTCTTTATTTTCTTAAGTTGTTGAAGGAAAAGGATTGCTATATGCATTTACTGGTCATATTTATATAAACTAATGCATATTTATAGTCCAATAATCATATGGAGAAAGCGATATCACCTTTGTTTAGTCACAAATGTAATCAATTATCTCCCTTTAATGCATCAACATTTTGGAAGAGTTACTTCCCTTGATGCACAAATCTTCTCCAAATACCCATCCCCCACCCCCCATCCCCCATAAAGATTTAAAAGCACATGAACTAGGAGATAGAATTTATCCTGTTATTTTATTGCACATTTTTGCACTTTATTTTTCACATTAGGAACCAGGACGTGATCTTGATGATTCGGTACAAAGTTTTTAAAATCTATAATAGACATATAGCCTAGTTGAATAGTTGTCAGTTTTTCTTATATATTTTTTATTAGTTAATTCAGGATCGACTTTTATGATGTTATAGATTTTGTAGTTATATTAGATATATTAAATACTATATGTTTCTTTTATGTAATCTGTTCTAAGCTATCTTATAGTCTAGTTCTATCAGATGATATGTGTCTGGTGTTCATTCTTAAGGTCCAAATATGCCAGAATAGAGTTTGAATGTACAGGACGTGGTTATATATTGTCATACCCCCTGTAATCTGTTGGTCATGTAAAATTGGTTGTGAACACTCAGAACTTGAAGTTATCATCCAACTAACTTGAAATTTATACACATTGTTTAAGTTCTTGAGACAAGACAGCAATGTCCAATAATTACTGTCAGAGTTATCTACTTTGATTAAGTTTTATAATTGTGTGGATGCTCTAGAGGCGAAAGGTTTGTATGATTGACAAACAATGTTTAAATCCATGAGATGAAGAATCCTATTGATTTTCATTGATTTCCAATAATTAATGCTTGGGCAACTTATCTTGTTGTTGGCATATGTTACTTTGACTGGCAAACTATCTTTTTGATTTTCGGGATATATGAGAATGTCACACTGTCATGTTTCTCCTTTTAATCAAACCTTCATTTAGTATTAGATTATTAATTAGATAAGTTATTTGCTTGTATAAAGGAACATGAAGCTATAGTAGGTCACTTCCATTTGACAACAATGTCCAATCTCTGTCATTCACTCGCATGCTACCTACCTTTCAAATGGTAATCTGAAAATTTGAAATGTATGATTTAATTAGTTGTCAAGCTATTCGCACAGTATTCTTTTCAATCCTTTTTCTTGATATAAACAGATGAGCTCATGGCCTAGAATTGTGACGCTCTAAATTAACAATAATTTTCCTAAACCATAATGCAGTTTCTCAATATTGTGACAAAACAGTGGGAAAATTGTATTCTTTCAACCATCTATGAATTTGAAATCTTAAGGAACTTGTACCCTATTGTCTTGTGTTCCTTTAACTCGTTAAATGGTATACTCTATCTGTGCCTTGCTTTTGCTTAATCATTTATATATATGTCAATCTTACTATATATATGTTAAATGGATATAAAGTGTAATGCAGCTGTCTGGTCTTTCGGATGAGACGAAAAACCGAGGTCCCGTGTAAACATTGGAATGCACGTAAAAGATCCCTTGGCAGGTGGAATTCGATATAAGAGTAGGCAATAGTGCCGCTGCCCGGGCAAAATTTCCCTCATAGCACACTGTATGGCGTATGTCCGTCTTCATTAGCCCATTAGGAGCAGAACAGTAGGACGTTAAACCCCATTTCATTTCATTTTATTTCATAAAGTGTAATGCTCTGTTTTATTAAAATATCTAAGACCTGTAACTATTTGTCCAAGAACTTGAATCTGTATGTATCTGCATCATCATTTTTTTTTCAAAAATGAGAATATTTGCAACTTTCTCTTTCAGTTTGGATTAACTCCTCTGCATCTTGCTTCCCAGTCTGGACATGAGGGACTAGTACGTCTGTTGTTAAATTGTCCCGGTGTTCAAGCAGACGCACCAACTAACATGCAGGTACTATATTAGCTGTTGTCAAATATAACCAATCATCCCACGTTATTTTATTCCACTTTGAAGAACTCAATAAATAAATCCAAAATTGCAATATTGTAGCAATCAGCGAAGTGAGAGATCTAAATGTGTGTACTGTAGATCAAAAGGTCTGTTATTGAGTCAAGTAGCGTTTCGAAGGGTCGTCGAAAAACCATATGTGGGTTTTCTCCCAGTCCTCCGGTTTCCTCCTACTACTAAAGCTTCTTATGCACAAGCAGATTATTGAAATAAAATTTACCATCTGTTAGTCCTGAAATGTCCTAGTTTGTGCCGAGTGGACGTTAAAACCCATTTCTCTCTCTAAACAAATAATTCCTTATTTTGTATCGAGAGAGTTCCTCTTTCAATTGTGTCAGTAATATATCAACTAACTTTGTTTCATTGATTTGTTAAAATGATATAGAATTTTGTATTCCAATTGTTGATTTGTAAATATTGTTGTTTATATATAACAGGGAACAATACCATTACATATGGCAGCACAGAGTGGCCATGCCCCTGTTGTTAGTTTATTATTGAGTAAATCTACAGCTCAGTTACATATTAAAGATAAACGTGGAAGAACAGCCCTACATCTAGCTTCAGCTAATGGACATTATGATATGGTTACATTATTGTTAGGTCAAGGTGCTGATATCAACTCTTGTGATAAGGTAAGTTTGCTTTTTGTTGTAATAAACCAAGTAGGGTGTATTAAGTAGAGCTGGGCGATATCCCTGGACACCGATAACGCAATATCTACAAAACATATCGCAATATAATCACTATATCGCGATATTGGATAAAATGTCAATAATTTCAGTTTATCACCTTTTAAATGTAAATAAACATGTTTAAAAAGTTGAAAATACCCCCGAAATATTCACTTGACACTTTCTAGTCAATATTATTAAAAGGTTTTAGCATAAATACCGAATTTACAAATAAAATTTAATGAGCTGCTTCAAACAGAGATTTATATAGCCATGACGGCTTGCTAACAATTTGGTTTATGTTGTTGTTTATTACAATTTTAATTTCCAATATATTAATTATGAAATTGTATTGAAGTTTAGAATATTTAGATATGAAGGACGCACAAAAACAGTACAAAACATGAGAAAAAAAAAAATGTTTGTGTTCTTTCGGCTGTGCAAATTTTTATAGCTACGGTTACGAATAGGCTAAAATGCTATTCATTTACCTTTGCAAACTTGTGTTTTCTCATTCAAGCGTATGCCTCCATGAAAATGCAGTTTACAATACAAGAATACTTAATTAAACTATAAAACATAAGTACTATGTCAAAACGTATCCATGGATTTAGTCAAATAGCGATTTTTCAGAACACGGACTGCCATGACACTTCTGACGCTGAATGATAATCAGTCTACCTGTACTCTCATTATTTATATTTCTGCTATATTAAAATTTTTTCAATCGGAAAATCAATGATTCGATCCTCTGGAAAATCAAAGTAACAGTATAAACAATTTGTTAAGATGCAGAGAAATTGATGAGAAGCAGGGATAATTCTTATGGTATCGTCGGGTGGAAAAGTGAGTGAGAAGTCAACGGTGTTTGCAAACTTAGTGGAATGAACAGTTGAGAGTTTATAACAAAGTTTATCACAAGCAATAAATTATCGTAAATAATCTAAAGGGAAAGTCATTTTTTCAATATTCATGTTAAGTTTCATCCAGAAAAATCAAAACAGCAATATATCGCAGTATTTTAGGTTTTTCGATATTTTTCTGAAAACAGTATTTTTGACGTTTTTTTTTTATCTCTGTGACGGTTTTATATCGAAAAAAGAAATATCGCCCAGCTCAAGTATTAAGTTGAACCGTGACAAAGTTACAGTATTTTAAATTTTCATTACACAATATGTGAAGTACAAAGTAAAGTGTTACTGGCTATTTCAATTTTACATGTTTAGGATCCAGGAGAAACCTGTAGAGAAGTAAATCAATTAATCACATATATACGAAGAAGAGGCATGTATCGCACTTCAGTTAATGATACAGTCTGTTTAATATGAATGCTCTCCCTTAGACAATGCTATAGCAATGTCAGATTATGGATTCATTCAAAATTTTTTTATAGATTTACCTCCTGTTACCAGGATAAAATATTTACATGTAGTAATTAATGAACCTGGGTTTTTTTTATTTTTTGGAATAAAAACATGTTATGTGGTCCTTTTGAAGTCAAGCAGGATTAGCTGAGAACAGTATGATGTTATGTTAAAATTTGTATTTCATAATCTTTGTATCTCTGAAAAGGTTTTCTCTTTGTACATTTCAGAATGGATGGACAGCCCTGCATTTTTCATCTAAAGCTGGTTATTTAAATGTGGTGAAATTATTAGTAGAATCAGGAGCATCTCCTAAGTTTGAAACAAAAGATGGTAAAGTTCCGGTCTGTTATGCTGCAGCGGCGAATCATTCCAATGTATTAAGTTATTTAATGAGGAGAGATTATAATACACAACATTTAATGGATGATAAAAAAGTATATATTTAAAACTGTTTTTATTTTATCCTTATATTAACTAGAATTTCAAATATTGAATGCATGCATGTCCAGATTATATAATTATTTATTATTTGGTCTGGGTAAAACTTCTTTTTTTTTTGTATGGCTTGGCTTCAAAAAGCCAAGAGCACAACTTATGGGAAATATGTTTTTTTTAATTTTCAAAGATATTTTTTGAAGTAACCTAAGCAAACAATATACAACAACCAAAAAAAAAAAAAAAAAAAAATATATAAATGCACTTATTTTAGTTTGAAATTAATTTTGTGACTTTCATTGTTGCCCAAATAACAAGGCTGTTGGTGGGTATATATTTTGTTGCTTGGCAACCTATGTTTGATTTATTTCTCTTTTCAGTTTGTTTTTGATCTGATGGTGTGTGGGAGACTCAACAATAATAAATGTATCCAAGAGTTCATCTTACTTTCTCCCGCTCCTGTAGACACTGCGGCTAAAATGTCCAAAAACTTTAGAACTTTAGCTATAAAAGAAAAAGAAAGATCACGAGACATTCTGGCTGCAGGAATTTACTGTGAAAATATGGCTACGGAGTTGTTAGCTATTGCCTCTAGTTCTAACAGCGCTCAACATCTACTGAAAGCCGTGGACTATCATGGAATTCCTTTCCTTGACGTGCTGATTGAAAATGAACAGAAAGAAGTTGTTTCTCATCCAGCTGTCCAGAAATATCTCTCGGATATCTGGATGGGAAATTTATTTTGGGCAACATGGAAAATAGTGATGTTATTTTGTGCGTTTCTTTTTATTCCAATAGTTTGGTTTATCTTTTCTCTTCCGATAAAGCATCGATTCAGCAAAGTTCCAATTATCAAATTTATGGCATATCTAGTCTCCCATATTTATTTAATGGTTTTATTTTGCATGACAATAGTAGTACCCATAGTCCCTATATACCAGTCTGGTAGCTTAATACCACACTGGTATGAATGGTTGTTATTGGCTTGGATGTCCGGACTACTTGTGTCAGAGTTAACTAATCCTGGAGATCGTGCTGGACTTGGAACTATTCGAGTGGTGGTGATAGGAATCTGTGCAGTTGGCGTGTTTTGTCATGTATTGGCATTTGCGTTTGACGAACAGGAACGATTTGTACTCCTATACATCAGAAATAACTTTTTTGCGTGGGCCTTATTGTTAGATTTCGTGTTACTCTTGGATTTCTTGTCTTTTCATCATCTGTTTGGACCCTGGGCTATCATCATTAGAGATTTGATGAAAGACTTGACAAGGTTTCTCGTTATTTTGTTGATATTTATGTTGGGTTTTACATTACATCTTGCGGCACTCTATCAACCAGTGTATAAACCAACAGTGCTGGATAGTGCTCTAGGAGATGGAGATGGAAGTGCTGCATCATCAACACAAACGCCTTTAGATACTTTCGAATTTTTGTTTTTTGCCTTATTTGGACTTGTTGAACCAGACAGCTTACCTCCCTTACATAGGAGCCCAATCTGGGTAACAACGATGGTAAAGATTGTGTTTGGAACATACATGATGGTAACTCTTGTCGTACTGATTAATTTACTGATTGCTATGATGTCAGATACATATCAACGCATAGTACAACAGTCTGATACAGAATGGAAGTTTGGTCGGGCCAAGTTAATACGTAATATGAATAGAACATCGGCCACACCTTCACCTTTAAATCTTTTTACCAAATTATTTACTTATATCAGAGTTATATATAAACATAGAGGTAAGAATATCATCAATAATTTCAATTTCTAATTTACCTGTTGTACATAGACCAGATCTTAACACGGCTAATTTGAGGAATTTCGTATCCCATGGAAGCTACAATATTGTGAAAATTGAATTGTTAAAAATAAAAACAGCTCAAACATGTTTCAATTCCATTCCCTCAGTCATTGACATAAACAATCCAGCTTTTGATGGGTCAGAAGATCATCTAATCTTGTTAATTTTGTTTTTTGTACATAATGAGTACCAGTACATTTTAGCGTGGATTAAGTTGTGAAAAATTAGATATAAGCTTTAATTTATCAAATATTATTGTTCTCATTCAATTTAGAATATATTCTCTTAGATACAGCACCCAGCAATGTTACCTTTTAGAATTATGAGCACAAGTCAATGTTAATATTTGCAGATGATGTAGACACCCAAACACAGTCTAGCTAGCAGTTTTAAGTTGGTTACTCAGTTTAATAAAAAAAAATCATCACTTTTCTTTTATTATTTCTGAGAACTGGGGGGCCTGACAAGGACAACTGTCTAGTGTTTGTATGATACGAAAAAACCAAGGTCCCGTGTCATTGGAATTCGATATACGAGTAGGTCATAGTGTCGCTGCCCGGGCAAAATTTCTCTCATAGCAAACTAGATAGCTTATGCCCGTTTCATTAGCCCAGTTGGAGCAGAACAGTAGGACGTTAAACCACATTCAATCATTCCTCCAGTTGGAGCAGAACAGGAGGACGTTAAACCACATTTCAATCATTCCTCGTAATTGGGATAGTCAATATTTACATGAACCGAGTGATAACGGGTTAACTTGTTTTTAATTAAATTGTATTTTATAACCTATGTGATGGAGATTGTTGTTGAATAATCAGCAGATTTGAAATGTAAAATACTATAATTTCTTTTAGGTAAGCTGTGTTCTGGTCATGCCCAGGAATATATTAATGATGAAGAAGATGATGCTTTGTCTGATTCTAGATCAGTTGATTTACTGGCACAATCATCTGCTAACTGGTTACGTAATGTTGTACGACGTAATACACAAGTAGCACCAGATGGTAGGTTTATACATTTTCTGTTGATAAGCCTGGGAATTGGATTTTCATTTTTGAAATAAAAGACTTTTAGGGTCTTAGGACAGTTTGGTAGATATATTACGATATTGAAATACACACCTGACTTGAAATGTAGATGATATGTAGATATGTAGCTTGCTGTGGATGATTTATGTTTTTTCTTGGTTCTAAATAATAATATGTTTAAGTGGTTGATAAAATTAAACCAAGTCTGGAAATAAGGCATCCATCAGGCACAAATTTTGTCTTGCCCAGATTTATGTTTGTTCAGTGCTTTTCTTCATACATGATTTCTGTCATGTACAACAAAAATAATTATTTTCTGACCTGATTAAATATAGGTCCAAATATAAAGATAAAACTGTCATTAATGAGGTGCAGAGTTCACAAAGCTTTCTCAGACTTCTGTTAAGAATTTACTCAAAATTGTTCTGCTTATTTTAACTAAAATATAGTTTTTTATAAAACTTTTGTTGTTTTAATGTATCAAATACATCAATAAGAAACTATGTGAAAAGTATTGTGTTTCTGGGTCAAAGATATTTTTCATAAACAGTGATTGAAAGTTGAGTAAATTCTTAAGTCCGAGTATACTTTGTGAACTTTGGGCCAGCCTGTGAAATCACTTCATTATGGAAGTAGACATTTGACAACAGCTGTCTTTAAAGTTTATCTTATGCATTAGAAAGATAAATATATAATTATGTCATTATAGGAGGATTTTTAAGGAGTCATGCTCACCATGGTCCACAGAGAATAGAAGATGTGGTTGACTGGGAACTGGTTGTAAAAAAATATCTAGTTATGCAAGGTTTGGAGGAACCAGAAAAGAATGATATTGATGATGACAGATATCCACCACCAACAAGTAATGGACATATCCCTAGCTTCCAGGAATTAACAGAGAGAGTCAAGAGTTAAAACCTAGAAATGCACTTGAAGGGGATGGAACTTTTGATCTTGCGTAAAGTAAAGATGCACTAAAACAGAGTGAGTTGTAGCGACTATGTCTGGCAGTAGGAAGTTTATATAATGTAACACAGGAGCACGTTGAATTTTATTCCTATACCTACAATTTCAGGTGGGAGAATTAATTAATTAGAGAATATATATATATGATAATTTTCTTTATATTGATAATACAGATATATATACATGAGAATTCTCTTTATATTGATAATACAGATATTATTATGAAAATTCTCTTTATATTGATAATTATTAATACAGATATATAATTTCACAGAAATATTGATAAAATTGGCTTTAAATTAGTAGGTCAATGTATAAAAGTTTTAACAACCAGTGATTGTTGAGTTTGTACACATGAACCAGTGAAAATATTATTTGAAAAAATAAACCTGTGTATATTAATGTTTTAATTCCGGTGTTGACAGACTTGCCAGTTAACCCAGTGACTTGTTGAATTTAAATGATATTTATCAGGACATTGAAATAAAGGTATTAATAATGCAAACTTATACATGTATGCAACAAAAAATTATAAACTCTGTAAATTCCTGAATAGGACAGTGGTATAAGGTGTTCTAGATAGAGTCAGCATATCCTGACTTGTGCATGACACTTGATTAATTTATTATCAATTCCATGGCAAAGGGAGTGAATTATTAGTGCAATTGATCTCTGTCAGTGGCTTTCAAAAGGCGAAAGCTGCTTGTATGGATTAAATTTTGTTGAGTCTGTTTTAGGTTCAGACAATTGATTATTTTGTACATAATACTTGTGGAGATTTTGTCGAGCCGTTTTCAATAAAGATTCAGACAAAATTATTTATTCTGTACATAGCTCTATATCGATATTTATGCATAATGTGGGTGAAAATTTCTTGAGCCATTTTGAATTTGAAGTTCAGACAAATTATTTATTTTGTAGATTGCTTTGCATCAATATTTATGCATAATGTTAGAAGAGATTTTAAAATTTTATAGTCAGAATATTTGTGTGATATTAACAACATGTGGGGTAAACTATAGATAAGGCGATATATTTTGGTAATGTTTGTAAATTGATTGGAATCAAGAGATTATTGTGTAAATACTGGTATATCTTATAGCAAACCTTGACAAAACCATGTGGTATGTAATGGTGAATATAAATAATGAAACCTAGTGTATATTAAAGCACCTGTGATAAATTTATTTATTTATTATATATTTAAACTGTTTACTATTTGCATCAGTGTAGATAGAATTATCTTATATAAATACATGTATGTAGGTAAATGTGTACAGTATATATATTTAATATTATTACGATATATTTATAATGCATATCCATTAAAAATCAAAAATTAAATGTATGTGACTTTTGTCTTTGTTGAACTGTAAGGAAGAGAAACCTTGGCTTTATGTCTAATTATTATTATGTTTTATTTCATAAAATATATACACCCAAAGTTATTTGAAAAAATGTTTAGAGAATTGTGTTATTGTTTTGTTATTATTTGCATTTGTTAGTATATGTATCATAATGTAAGATATATTTGACAAGTAATGTTAATACTAATATAAACATAGTTATTATCCATTTCGAAAAATAAAATCATCATTCCAAGATGTCAAAAATTACTTAGCAAACAGATTTATCGATAAATTTTGTTATAAACCAACTTCTTCATTCATATTAAAAATCTTAAATTAATATGCCATTATTTATAATGTGAAATGCACAATGGAATTTATGAAGGATTTTCAGTTTTTGCTAACCAGATAATCCTTAGAATTTTAGTTCTATCCACTTGGTTTTAATAAAGTTTTCTTGTGCAATACAAAATAAATTAATAATTAATTAATTTTAATTATAAAAGTAATATTATTTATCCATAATTATTTATACATTTTATATTTATTAAGAAAATATGTTTATTTTATAGATTTATTATTTCAACCGGTTTTATTTGTTATAAAATACTTTTTTTTAAATTCTATGTCTAGTTAGTGTTTTGCTTATATGTATTGTTATTAACTTTATATTTTAAAATGTTCATTGTTTACATGTATTTGTTTTTATCTACCAGTATATAAACATGCAATTATTATTAACTGTTGAATATACTATAACGGTACACTATATCTATAGTATCCAGTTATATAAGTTGTATATAAAAGGAGAGGTGTTTTTGAAGCAGACCTTCAATGTTATAATTTAGCTTAAAAATAAAATTTATCTTGGTTGTAATATAATATATACCTAAAACAGTTTTCAGTTCATTTGGCTACTATTAGTATCTTCAGGAATAACTGTTATTTAAATAACTGTATCTATCTGTTTCATCATACTGTGTGAAAATATTGTCATTTTTAGCTTATGGACCAGCTTAAATTCACAGTTTGTATTCAATTTTAAAAACCGTTTAAATATATCATTTAAATTTACCACCGTTACACCTTAATGACAGTCGAGTTCCAATTTCATGAAAATCAGACAAAAACTGCCTGGCAAAATGGCGACTGCTTGTAAGCAAATAGTTTAAAAGTATGTCAATCCTAGTTGTGGACCGTCTAGAAGTCACAATTGTTATCAGATTTTGATGAAACTTAAAATATATATTTATGTCGCAAAGATCTTGGTTGCTTTAGCTATTTGCCATATCAGACCAAAGATCTTGGTTGCTTTAGCTATTTGCCATATCAGACCTTAACGTCCTGGATGATGGCCCCTGATTATACAAAAAATCATGTTTTTTAGTTTGTGGATTCTCTAGACTCTAGAGGTCACAATTTTTTATCCGATTTTAAAAATGGTTTAAATATATCACCATCCCACCATAATGAAGGTTGAATTTGAATTTTGAGAAAATCAAAAAGAAACTGCCTGACAGTTCGGAAATTGTGTAAAAGTATATTATATGTAATACTAGGTTGTGGACCCTCTACAGGTCACAATTTTAAATATATCACCATTCCACTATAATGCAGGCTGAAGTCGAATTTCGGGAAAATCGAAATGAAACTGCCCAACAAAATGGCCGCTCTTTGTATGCAAATTGTGTAAAAGTATGTAATACGAAAGTTGTGGACCCTCTGGAGGTCACTATTTTTATCCGATTTTGATGTAACTTAAATTATATCCCAAAGATCCCAGTCACTTTCGATATTTGCACATTTCAGACCATAACTTTTTGGATTATTGCCTCTGATTGTACGAAACATGGCTTTTGTTTTTAGCTTGTTCTCTATCCATCTCTTGCAAAACGTGGGCGTATCTTGCCTGGGAACCAGTGGTTAATTGTGTCCGTTGGTCCGTTTACAATTCTTGTTTTATACAAATTTACTTATATACGCCCACTTGCTATATTATTGACACCCCTGTCCGTAAACACTTTCTTTTACTATCTCTGCAGAGTTAATTTCTTGGTTGATTTTCATGAAATTGACATTATTCGACTCCAGATGATCCTGTCTAATTTGAGCATTATTGTACAAGTACTTCCAGGGTTATTGCCCCCGACTTACATGTACTGATTGTTGATTACTGCAGAAAGTACAGTGTTCAACTGATTTTAATGGAGTTTGCAGAAGTGGTTAGTAATGGGGCCCTATTTGATTTAGAGCATTTTTGCAAAAACAGTTCCAGAGTTAATGCCTCTGACATGATTGTTAATAATGTACATTACCATACTCATTCTGTTGGGGGAGGGGGCAGGAGGGCAAATGGTCTGACATGTGCACTTTAGATCATTAGGTTTGTCATTGAGTTGAGTGGCATGTTATTGATATCCCACATTTCAACGTGACTAGGAGTAATGTCACCTGCCTAAAATCGTACCATATGTTAGTCCCGAAAGGAGCTGGATTGTGTTGAGTGGACGTTAAACCCCATTTCTCTCTCGTTAAACCCCATTTCTCTCTCGCTCAAATATATATATTGTTCTCCAATTTTCACAAGAATATGCTGAGTTATTGCCATTCTACATGGTCAGAAGTCCGGTGCATATCTTTATTCAAATAGAGGAAATCTTTATTAACTGTACTTAGCTACTTGTGGGTTTATGTTCCACTGTCTGACAATTGTGTATCTATAATTTGAAAGGAAAAAATCTTATCTAAAATTAGTACTTTCTGATTATTAATAAACACACATAGTGCATTTTGTGACATTTCACCAAAAAATCTCATTCGAGATTATTCATGAAACTATCTTTCTATAGAATAACACAGGAGACTTGTTACACATACAAGATTTTCTCCCATATAACATGATAACATGTAAAAAACTTGATCAGTTGGTCTCGATTTTCAAATGTCCAGAACAAACTCCTATATTATGTTTATTTTAGAAAGCTGGTGGAAATAAATTTAATGTAATAAATCCAAATATAAGCTGTATTGATGTCATAAATGAATTTGCTGCTTATGGGCGTATACACAGTGTTTGCAAGGATTAATTTATAATATATTTGTCCAGTAAGAGATAATTATCAATTAATATGTACCATAGTCAGTAAATCATTCCCCAGATTAAGGTGAATTTAAAATAAAAAATAATAAAATATCTTTAGAAATATCTAATGTACTTTGTTCTTCCTACAAATACAGTAATCAGACATATTTCTTTAATTGTTTAGATCAGTGTTTCCCAAAGTGGGCAATCAGATACATCCTTACCTTGACTGAGTTTGATGATAAGCATTTCCTGTCTAAGCCATGCAATTTGACACAATAACTTTGCTGCTAAGTGAGGTAGGATATTCAGACTTGGTGTAGATGTAAATGTCGGATTGGTGAGCTACTTCCACTGAGAATTAGCAGAGATAAGCAACTTCATTTTAAAAATAATATATGTTGTGTGTGTGATTTGAACATTGGCTAAAAAGTGGGATTCACAAGGAATATTCTTTGCAGTTCAAAGAAGCAAATTAACCACCACATACTTTCATCTAGGAATAAAGACTGGATTATTACATATTCATCTGAGCATAGTTTTGTCATCTATAAGACCAACATCTGAAAATATATATCTTTTAACCAGCAAAATTAAACAAATAGCATAATTAGAAAATTACACTGGTAATCTATGATTTTTTGCTATGGGTACCCTTCCACTGACAGCCCACTAATGCCATTGTTAAACAGATGAGGGAGCCCAACACCTCTGTTATATATAATGGCAAGTTAACAACATGTTAAAGTTAATGCACCGACTGGGCAGGTGCTATGAGGTAAATTTTCCCCGAACAGTGTCGTTATGGCCTACTCTCATATCGAATTCTAACTGTCAAGGGATCTTTTATGTGCACACAAGTGTACACTTGACATCGGCTTTTCGTTCAATCCAAACAACTATACTTTGTCCCTTGCCAGGTCCTCTGTCCTTCAACACTGACAAGGGGAAACCACGCTGTAAAATCTTGATGAACTTTCTCTGGTAACGCAGGGATCGAACATGCGACCTCAAGGTTATCGAACCATCATCTTACTCACTGAGTCACTATGGCTCCCCAACAGGAAAGAGAGGGTGACCACAATAAATGTGGAGAAGAACATTTGTATCAGAGATAGAGAAAGATGTAAAATACTAGTATCAGTGGTATGTACTAGCAAGCATGGAGAGGATAAACACATTTTAACATTACCCTGCTTTCTCCGAAAACTGTGAACAATAAATTCTAAAACAGAAAACCTTGAATTATTTTATTATGAATGTATAGCATATAGATTTTTAGGTTATTTACAATCCTTCATTTTAAATCAATAATATACAAACTGAATAATATAATAGTGATTATATTCAAATGTCTTATGTATACATATAAAACTATTTGGTTATTAATGTGGATACATATAGTAAAATCTAAGCAAATATTTAATAATAACAGAAAATTCCAGAATTTGGGCAAAAACAGCGAAATTTAACTAAATCAACAAATGAGATAAAATTATGCTAAATATATCAATATGTGCAATTTCTGGTATATCTAGAAAAATATATTCTAAAACAAGATTAAAACAAAAGAATTCACCCTGTATTTTATAAACCCAGGTTTCAAATCATGAACTGTACCCAGATTACAATGTTTCACACAGTAGGTAGGATTTTAAAAATTTTGAATGAGTAGTGGTCCTACACTTCATCAGATAGTGCACCACATGTACAACACAAAAAGCTTTTTGAAAAATTTAAAAAAAAAATAGTGTGGTAGTAGTTGGCAAATAAGTCCAGTAATAACAAACATTTGTGAACTCTATGGAAATGTCAAAGAAATTTTTAGCTTTATGTTTGACAGGCCTTGAATTTGTTTGAACAAAAGCTAACAGTTAAATTCAAAAATACATGTATGCATTATGTCTAGAAAATGAAAATGAGGCCATCATGTTTCACCTGAAACAATGTCTTGTTTTAAAATAAAAGAATTCTTAAATATATTTTATATGTACAATATATAATTAAAACATAAACCGTCATATATATAAACATGTACTAGTACGAAAAATAGAAATATGAGAGTTACACGTAACAGAAGATAAATAGGAATGTGCCAACACAACTTTACAGACATATAATACCGGTACATAAAATCACCTAAAATATAATATACAAAAGGCAGTAAGTGGTATACAATATATACAAGGCCTTGAGTTACAACTAGGTTTATTAATCAAGATTATCTATATAAGCTAGAGTATTATCTAATAGATGTGGGGTGGCTTTTATATGCCCTTATTATAAAAATGTTAATAATCATCTGTAAATTGATAATTTGGTCTTTTTATTTCTATAAATTATATGGATTTGAAGAGCTGCAGGTCTTTGATAGCTGCTCAAGCATATTCAGTAATTATGGACAAATAGATAAAATTATTGCATAAATTGGTTTCAAATTATGGCCCAGACAACAAAGCTTCTAGTGGGTGTATGTTTTGCTGCATGGCAACCTATGCTTAATGATTAATAACCAGAGTAAAATACAACATGAAATGGTAAGGTTTTAAAATTATCTATTAAAGGTTATTTAAGCAGACTTGAGTGGTTATACTGACATACTAGTTAAATTACAAGATTTATATAGGCTACAATATCTATCATAATACAATATATAAATTGGAAAAGTAATAAATTAGAAAAGTAGATAAGAACCAAAACAACAAATATATTCAATGCATTGTAATTACAGTCCAAATATTAATCCTGGCTAGACAATGTTAGAAATGAATAATCAGGAATTTTAAATATATCTAAATATTGAGAGAGAGAGAGAGAGAGAGAGAGAGCCCTAAAAAATGTTGAATCTTGCACTTCCTGTATTTCAGGAAAATAAATTTAAAAGTTTGTAAAAATGCCCAATATATAAAATGAGTCAAAGGTTTCTGTTCCTCTACACACAAAAAACAGCAATAGTAGGCCCTTTAAAACTAATTAATGCATAGGCTAAAGCTTACATATCATACCAAGTCTTAATTGTATGTAAGTCATATTGATTTGTACTATGAAGCTGTGGATGTTTATGCACCAGGCGCCATTAAATTAGCAAGTTACGGATGATGTAGTCCTGATCCCTCCAGTCCAAACTGTCTCTGCAACTAATACTGATCTGAACAAACAAGTGCCAACTGTAGATTGCTGACTGGATGTTCGCGTATTTAGTTATGAGAAATCCACAAGTTCTGCATAATTCAACAAACGGTGAAGTTCATTTTTACTCTCGGCCAATCATGAGATGTGTGCATATCTCTACGACCTTTGACACTCCGGACCAATAAAAATCCATCATACAGCTAAGTTAATGCATGTACTAATCTGTTAACAAAACACAAATTAATAATTCTGGTGAAAGTCAGTAGACCCGATCAATTTGTAGTGTAATCTTATCACAGAATGCTTCATTAAACCAAATCTACTATACATAGAAATATAACGTAAGTCATGAAATGTATGAGAAGCAATCTGTGTGAAGGGGTGGTAGGAGTGAGTAAACCAACAATTTTACCAGTCGATTTAAATACCATAAACCATGACAAATTTAATGATACTGAGGTAGCAAGATGGACGACTAGTTAAAATTTCTTGATCACATGTTCCGGATAAATAATAATATTGTTAACAAAGTAAACCAATGAGATCTTTGAACTATAATCGTTTCTATTTTGCCTCTAATAATTAAAACTAAAATAAAGTCAACATACTCAATAATAACAATACTAATTCTTGTTAATCATCAGTATCAAGGCTTTTCTGTTTTTCTGCTTGGATTGAAAGACAAACTATGGCTTCCCATCTCGTACAATGTTCAGGTCATTGACGAAATTCTTGCAAGCCAAGCCTCCTTAAGACACTTACATATTTATTTACTTACAGTAAGAAAATCACAGAATTTGTTGTGTCCTTAAGTCACTTAAATGAAATGTAACTAATAAATTCTGTTAGTAAATTGAACTGTCAATAAATCAAATAGCCAAGATGATGATACCAGTGTTAGACAAGAATAGAACAACTATCAAGATATATGTAACATATTCAATTCTGAATTTTATAAAAATTGTTAAAAACTGTCAGATATATTGTACTAATTATAATGTAAGAAATATAAATAAAACACTCTATTGGACAAGGTTCATAGTTCACAAAGAACATGAAACATACACATAAATCAAACATTTTAATAGATTTAGCAGTACACGTTGTAAAACTGGCCCCTTATGATACGAATATAGTTGCCTGGTTAACCTCGTGGGTTTTCTTTGGGTCCCCAGGTTTCCACCTACTGCTAAAGACCCCTATGTAAGTGTTGCTATTTCAAAAATTTTCTTGTCAGACATTTTTACGAAAAATAAAGGGCATAACTCTTATCGTTATTTAAGTAGGCGGTTTCAGACCACAATTAAAAGTCATTTGTCAACAAAATATTTAAATTCATATGCTAATAAAAAAAAATATAGGTGAACCTCGGTTTTTTTCATATTTAATTCCTGTATGGTATTCAAATTTATATCAGTAATATTCCTACAAAATTACATGTTGTCGTAATACGATAGAATGAAAGCGTGACGACTACTGCCGACATGTGCAATAAAATTATGGAAATAAATATCTATCATGTAAGTCCCAAAATGACTTATTTTGAGGGCATGTTAAATCCCAGTTATACTAGTCGAAAAAAGTGTCAATTTATCTAGGAATTTTTTTTATTTAAAATATCATGTATATAAATAGTATGCCAGTAACCACATAAAGTGTTTTATTTAATTAAACTTTATCATTTAAACATCGTACACAGATTAACTACACATTATCTAAGAAATATATCTTAACACAAATCATTCAATAAAAAAATACTGACTTGATTGACATGGATAGAAAACACAGTGAACTATTCACTGTTTCTTAATATAGAATTACATTACTAAATCCTGAATCAGCTAGCAGTGTATTCTCCTTGTAATTGCCTGAACACTTTAATTAAGTTTTCTAGTCCAAGTAAATATCCTCGATCGGGTCCATCGTGAGTTGTCTTATCTCCATAAAAACCACGATGTGTGGTATGAGCAAAATCTATCATTCTAACAACCACACGTCCTTTATCGTTATCATCATTATCTAATGACTCATTGTGCAACACTTCATCAGAATTCACCATATTTTCCTGTGATAAAGTCTCAGCACTGTCCATCCCACCGTCAATCCCATCATACATTATTAAAAGTGAGCTGGAATAAAAACGGAATGAATCTTGTTTTTCCACCAAGTGGTGAAGTTTTTTCAGTTTTTCAAGAATAGTCTTTATAATGTCTAATCGTATATTACGACCATCATGAAGATACTGTCGTATTGTCTCACTAAATCCTTCTTCAGATAATGAGCGACCATGATATTTATCTCGACTAGTGTAAGTTTCACTGTCAACTTGATAAACCTGAAAATAAACCAAATAATCATAAAAATATCTGACACTCTATACTATAATTCTGCATCAGAAAATAAATATAAACAAGCCAACAGTGAGGCTGATGTCCTCTGCCTTAATCACGAAATAAACAGATGACACTCATTAAACTGAACATTTTTCATTTTATATAGCATTGAGAAATCAAATTGCTTATCATTCTCCTTAACCCGAGCAGAAAATGCTCATTTCAAATTAATAACAGTATTGAATCTATTTATGTAACATGTAGCTATACAACAAGTTTCGTCATTCTTGATAAATTAGAATCCGAGTTCCAAAGCATTGACAGAGCAAATTATTTTATCTCTGCTTAACCTAAGAAGAAAATGCTCATCATCAAGGAGAATGATAGATCGGAGACGGTCCTGCACATATGACGTCATACATGGATTGTGCATTAGGGTTAGGGTAATGGTAAGGGTTAGGCTTGGTCCAGGGTTAGGGTTACCACTAGCCCTGTTTACGTTTCGAAACTTTGTCAAAATTTGCAGGTCCTAACCTTTACCCACAATCCATATATGACGTCATATGTGCTAAAATGTCCAGGACCATCTTCAATCTAGCATTCTCCCATCATCAAACTAGCCTGGTAATATATCAGACAATATCAGACAACAAATTCAGGATTTGTCAGGCAGCCTGTTGTTCTGCTTACAAACATCTACATCTAATTGTATATTCTACTTAATGTGTCCTAAATCAATCAAACTGGTTATCTCTGTTTAACCTAAGCAAATGTTTATTATTGAACTCAAGTGTGCCTATATATATACTGTATAGTGTATGACAAGCGATTCCTATAGCATCAAGCATTTAAGTAGTATATTGATACTGCACGAAGGTGTTAGTCAAAGTGTCATTTCAATATATCACACAATGTCTTGCTCAAGGGCATTAAACAACTTAAAGTACAGATACACTATCCCCCATGACATTTCAATGAAATTTTCACGCCAATATTTCATTTATATAAAATAATATACCTTTGGCACATTGCCTAACATCAAAAGATGGCATTACATCTGTATTTTAAGTCGTATTAACTTCAATTAATTACCTGCATTCCACAGACACGAACACCTAATGTACTTGATGTAGATTGTTTACATTTCTCCATCTGTAGCCTTTTCTTACTCTCGCTTGCATCATCACCATGTTGTCGTGTACCCATTTTTAAATCTAATATACATGGACGTTTAAAATGAGCAGCTACATTCTCTAGTAATATAAATTCTATCACAAAGTTAGGGAACATATTGAGATTGAAAATGAAAATGTTTTTAGTGGGTAAAAGCATACCTGGTTTCAAGAAAATGTTTACCATTTTCCAGTGATGGGATTTCGCCTGTATATTCAGGACATGTCCGACACTATTTTCCAAATGTCCCAATTGACCGACCACTAATATTACTAATCGGACATCAAGACATGGTGAATAATATTCAAAATTCCAAAATTAATATAGTGTCCTGAGTGCATATCTACCACTCAACCCAATTATCATTGATTAAGTAATTAAGAGATCAACGTATTTACCGTGTCTTACTTTCTATACACCTACCTTGATTAACTACCTAATCTGCCTTGATTGGCTGACCTAATCCTTTGTCGGACAATTCATCAATCCAGTCCTGAACAGAAGTCATTGCTTCTCCTATGTATCAATCCAATAAGAGTGATTATAAACTTAACCTATGTGATTAACTTGGGGTTTCTCTATTGTCGGACATTTTAATCTCCTTGATATCAGTCGACAACATGTAGAAACTAGTCATATATGTCACATATCCTATTATATTCGTTAACTTGTCACACACACACACACACACACACGGTTATAAATAACTGAAAACTAAAGTAGAAATCTTGCGAGACCAGTAAAATTAGAGAGATGTATCACATGTACAGTAAGTCTAATTTTGTGCCTAACAATGTCTGCGACAAGTGTCTTATTTATAGGCTTGAATATAAAATTGGGTCTCCTGTCACTTTTCAGTTTCTTTGAACTTGAATTTTTCTTAACAATTGTGGTAACAGAAATTTGAAGAATGTGAAATATGAGAGAATTATAACTTGGCCAATGCATACATAATGATAATCAGTGGGAAAAGGATACTAGAAGTATCAGAAGATTGTCCCTGATTCCGCCATTTCTTTAACAACATTTTATGGCAGCGTAAACTCCAGGGATTAAGGCTTCCCTTTTTACTGGAATCTGCTGTTGAAAAAACTTTGTCCGTTTGTGTGCTAACTTCTAAACTACCACTTCTTAAAAAACGAATACCAGTACTACTTCTGAAAGAAAACAGATATAAAATTTGAATAAATGACTTGTTATTGTGTTGTTTCATATTAAATCCATACATGTTTGATTATATATAATTATTTCACCAAGTAACCCCAAGCAGTTTGTTATTGAATTAGATTAGTCAACAGTCTGTTACCCAGGCACTGATGCATAACTTCAATAGGCTTGATGAGAGAGAAAGAGAGAGACATACAGAGAGAGAGAGAGTTTAACCTCCACTCAACACAAACAAGGTCATTTCGGGACTAACATGTGGTTCAATTTTATTTCAATAATTCGCTTGCGCGTAGGGGTCTTTAGCAGTTGTAGGAAACCGGAGGACCCGGGAAAAACCCATGAGGTTGGACAGGTGAATCTACTCCTTGTCACGTACATGTACAATCTGGGGAATCGATACAACAGTTGACTCAATGACAGACCTTATGATACAGTGCACAGTACATCTTACCAAGTAGCTTCAGCTTCTGAATTCTAAGCCTAAACTATTGATACATTGAACTGGTAGTAACAGATGTTGTGAATGATTTACGTCAATTCGGGAATAACAATTTTATTTCAATAATTCACTTACGCTTAGTGGATTCAACTGTGGGAGGAAATCAGAGAAAACCTGCAAGGTTTGGCAAGCGACCCTACACCTAGTGTAGTATGAAATGAAATTGGGTTTAACGTCCTACTTTTTTGCTCCTATACTGGGCTAATGAAGACGGGCATACGCCATACAGTGTGCTATGAGGGAAATTTTGCGTGGGCAGCGGCACTATGGCCTACTCTTATATGGAATTGCAAACTGGCAAGGGACCTTTTACATGCAAGCCAGTGTATACATGGGACCTCGGTTTTTCGTCACATCCAAACGACTAGGCAGCTGTCCTAGTCAGGTCCCCCGTCCTGCACCACTGACACAGAGAAACCATGTTGGAAAATCCTGATGAACTTTCTCGGCCAATACAGAGATTTGTGTATTATGACCTAAAGCACATGCATAAGACCAATCGACAACAAACCCCTTAGATAAATGGAGACAGCCCACCAAATTTTATTTGTAGAATGAATGCTTTTCAATTTCCAGTATAGTGTGAATAAAGAAAGTAAATACCCTGTTTTATGTTTAATTGGAGTATTTTTATGAGCAATAGGATACTGTGTTGTTGTTGCCTCACTATCACTACCACTAGATAAAGGAGATGATGAACCACTGTCAGGTTTTAATAAATTATCATCACTATCAATAAGATGTGGATAACCTATTAATGTTATGTATCCATTATTATCTTCTTGTAGTTGTACATCAATCACTCCTAAAAATACAAACAATCTACATGTATACATACAAACTACATACATAAAACTACATGTAGGGGAGAGCTGGGATGGTTAGGACACTTTTGTTTATTTTCACATTTGTGCAACTACTAATGCCCTTGTCTCTGAAGAATGGAAATGAAATGAAATGGGGTTTAATGTCCTATTGTTCTGCTCCGACTGAGATAATGAAGACAGGAATATGCCATACAGTGTGCTATGAGGGCAATTTTGCCCTGACAGCGGCACTCCTCAATAACAGACCATATGATCTAATGTGTGTGCACAAGAAGCCCCTCTTTTCATGGGATAAATACACATTGCCTCATATTCAGGATCTTGCAAGGACAAGTAGTAGTCCATAACTGAAAAGTTAGAGGGGAACTAAATATGGTGCTATTCAACAAACTACATTATAATTCATCATACAAGGGAATACATTCTGATGTTGCTTAAACAGCCAACGAAATATCAGGAGCCATGGTGGCTCAAAGAGTGAGGCCTAGAACCACTAACCAGTTGGTCTCGGTTCAATCCCGATGTTGTTCGTGAAAGTTCTTCTTGCCAGTGGTGCAGGACAAAGGGCCCGGCAAGGACTTGGATCGGACGGAAAACTGCGATATTGTCTTTACATTATGTGTACGTTAAAGAACATTGACAATTGTAATTTGATATTAGATTAAACATACATTATGCAAGAACTAAATCTGCCTATTGCACGTCTTTCTTTAGGCTTGAAATGTTATCTAAATTATTAATTAGACATTAATTAACTTATCCAGGCCACAAACAACTCTCGATGTCATCGCTAGCCTGCAATATTTACTGGATTAGAATCCTATCTGCTGTTTAACGCTCATTGATAATTAAATCAAAAAATGGATAATCGAGACTATGTTTTTCAATCGTACCTACTTTAGTAATGATGATCGAGGCTAGGCCGAAAGTTCAATCGCTAAAATCTCGATTCAGAGTGGATCAATTTGACAGAAATTTTCAGCAAATTCCCTTTACATTATCTAGTTTTTAAGTACCGTAACTGTCAGCTCTTTATCTAATCTCCCATAATGTATCTTTAAGAGTAGGATGTAGCGCCCCTTTCCGGGCAAATTATCCTTACAGCACACTGTATGCCACACTTCTGACTTCATTAACCCAGTCAGTGCAGAAAAGTTGGACATTAAACCTCATTTCATTTCATTTGAAATATCATATTCATGTGACTATTTTTTAAATATATTACAAAGAATTCTCCTTTAAAATATATTTATATGATGAGAACACATTATCAGAAGCTATAATCTCTATAGTCATGGATTTATCATGAGTAAATCTATTATCACGGGTCACCAGTTTGCTTTAGGCAGCATTATATTTGGACTTAAAGTCGGTCTGTTAGTTGGTTTATTTGTTATATTTATATCCAATATAAGGTCTACAATAAAACTATTATCAGTAAAAATACAGAAAGAACTTGGACAAGACCAAAATAAATACCGATAATACAGACAATATTTGTGCAGTTAAATTTGAATGTCACAGGTTTGAAACCCAGCATGACATTTTTCAAGCTCAATCCCCTATTGTCTAGGGTAGCAAACTGTAGGGCTAAAGTGCTTAGATAACGTTTAGATTCACAGACACTATAAAAAGAACCCTTAAAAGTTGGAATTTAATACAGAGTGTACCAGTATATGTACAGGTCAAAAGGAAATGTTTATGCCAAATTTTTTCTCTCTAGCATTGCACAGTGCACACTGTATGTTCGTCTAGAAATCATTAAATTATTGTGTTGACCAGGGACCTTAAACTTTTATATTTTTCTTACCAGGTTCTTCGTGAAAAAGACTTTTTTAAAAACTATTTCTGAGGTTAGCATTTTTATTAGAAAGTCACAAATAAATATGCTTTGGATTAATATCGAAAAATTAAGCAGGAAGTGATTACTATCATTGTGGAACAGACAATGGGTGTAGTTATGTACAAAGTACAAGGAAAAAAATAAATAAAGTACATTACCTCTATATTCAGCAGTAAATTCTTTTAATTCTTCTGGTTGGGTCACATAAAAAAGTTGTTCTCTTTTAACCAATGGTTTACATAAAGTTGTTTCATCATAATGTAAAACAACGGTATGTCCACCGACTTGATGTTGAAATGGCTCCAACTGAACAGCTTGGACGGATGGATGAGATTCCATCAGATGTTCAGGCATATTGTGAGTTGCCTCCCCCTTCCTCTCAAAACCAATGCTGCCTTTCTCTGCGTTACCATTGAAGTGTGTATCAACTGTCCAATACGCCTAACTTATACAATTTCTAAAAAAAGAAGAAACAATCTGTATTTGTTATAACCATGCATTATATTCATTTGCTAGCATGCAAAAATACATAAACATTCACCCAAAAGTACCTACAGCTATGATTTGATCAAACTTGAAAAATGAACAACAGGTCTAGTGGAAGTATAAGTGTCAACCATAAAGTTTAAAGTTTAAAGACTTTATGGTGTGATAAGTCAAACAAGGAAATCTGCAAACTTACTATATTAATTACAAGTTGTTAAATGTAACAAAAATATGGTGACATGGGGAATGTACAGCAAGCTATAAGGATGCCACATATATCACAGATAAATAATAATACTGGTAGGCTACATACATAAACCCACTATTTAATAGTATCTCTATAGTTTTGACTTAAGAATCTGAATTTTCAGCAATGACCAGACAGTACACACACTGATATAGTTATATACCAGAAATCATTCATAAATTATCGGACTGATTTCTTTCTTCTTCCAAAAATATTTATAGTTAATTCTCAGCCAGTTCTACTTTAAAATAGAAAAGTATAAACCATAATATGATACAAAATTGAATTCTACAAAATATAAATATAGACAAAATAATTGTACAAGTTATGCTTTTGAATCGTCTGTGTATTTGTTATCCCTATGGAGATATTGTACTCGCGTCTTCTTGTGTTCACTGTTCTGAGTGAGAATACTGGTCACTTGTTTGTATGACACCTAATGTTTAAGTTAAAAGAGAGTTTATATACAGTTAATTTTAATTGTTTTTTTCTAGAACATCATATAAATGCTGAGTTGAAAACACAATGTTTACCAGACCATGATGGGTGTTAATAAATTGTTATAAACTGTAGATTAGACATACATGATATGTGTCAATACGTAGTAACCTACATAGGATATTAATACACTAGTAACAAAAAAGGTCACATATTCATCTTATAAACTAATGAATACAAATTAATCATTAATACATAATAAAACTAGACTGTCAGACTGGTTTCAAGCAGGTAAAAGAGTTAACAGTGAACTTTTATTAAAGTCCTGATTCACCTTATTAAGCAATAGGAATCCCCTGCAAACTTCTACATTGTAAAAGATGAAGCTCTAAAAGGAATATCCATCCAATAATGGTTAAATTCTGTATTTACAAAGATGTGGAAAAGAAATTTTATCGATCTAGGCAGCTTGCCATTAATAAGCCCTCCGCTATTTTGTTGTCCACAAAAATTCGATGATAAGCCTGTTTTAAATTCAACCCAGGACATTATATCTAGCATTGGTATTTTGATTTTGTTTTCTTAATTAAATGTTTTATAATTAATCCGAGTACATATTCACGTGGTAAAGCCGTGGGAAATTTGACATTTTAGAGACAAATGCCAATGGCGCATCGTTACCTCAATAACTATTTTTTGACTAAAACATCTTAAGTGAATAATCTTATCTATATTAAAAACACTTTACCCAAACCGGTCCGTTATAAAATCTACTCAGTCACATACAGTACCCATGTATTATCATAAACCACAAATTTATACTACAGAACTTTTCTATTTACACTTGACCATCAAATAAGACATTCACACAGTAGTATTCATATTCAAATTCGGAAATCATTTAGCACCTAAATGACACAAACTGTATAAAACCTACAGTAGAAAAGTATAAACATCCTGTGTAATAGAAAACTTCCTTTAATATAACATTAATAAGCCTACTTATCATATTCATGTATATGATGCATGTCAGTGTCAATGTTTTGCACATACATTTAAGTTATTTTTATCGTATCTAAACTCTGGTATTTATACACTTTATAATATTAAAGGATATCTGATAATTCGAAAAAAGTAATTGAATATCACTAGATAAGAGAAAACAATAAACATAAAAAGTCCTTGTTTTTATTCATTCTATACTTAATAAAAACATGGTAATGCACTGACAGTCAATTATTGTTTTGAATTGTCAGATATCCTCCCACAGTCACCTATATAACAACTTTTGGTCTTCGAAGGAATCATTAGTGTGTAGAAATTTGCCTGTGTATCTGTTATCACCCGTCCCTTCAGTCCGTTATATAGAAGGATAACTCATGTTTTCCTTTTGCGTTCATCACTTCCCTATCTTGAAATCTTCATAACGCATATAATATTGTAGCAATGATCTCTGTGTTAAAATTATATTTTGAACATGTTTAACCAGTTCTATCACATAATGTGATAATGACTGACACTAATAAAATACTGTCCTTTAATTAACGAAACGATAAAACATAATTAACAGTACCTCAATTCAATCAATACACCTCTACTGTATCCACTTAAAAGTTTCGCTTTCAACAGTCCAATATTCCGACCTTTCGACTACTGTGTCCTTCGAACTAGCCATGTTTACAAAAATAATACAGATGGATCAACCCATAGATACATGTACCCCCCCACATAAAGAGCCACATAAAATTGAGCATATAAACATATTGATTAATAAATATGATAAAACACAAATATAACCAGTTTAATACAAAAGCTTTATACTGTATCTGTAAAATACATTTCCTTTCTAAAAACATTAAATAACACTAGTTTTGGCAATAATTGAATTTTAATTTACTACATGTATATGGCAGGAACAGCTGTGTAATATCTCCTAAATTAACTTCTAGGTTAAATTTCAATTCATTTAAAATAGTGTTAATTATGTGAAAATTTTATTATGTGGAACCAAGCAAATTATTAAAAATAATAATAGTAAAGTTTTAAGGTTCAAACACAGACAGGGCCTATCAATTGAAAAACATACCCAAACTACTGGGAAACATCTTTTATAAACAAGTTTCAATGATAGCTTTAATGTTTAAACATTTCAAATTCTAAGGTAGGAGTCATCACTCTCATTATAGGTTTCTTGTCTCAAACATGAGTCTCTAGAGCGCATATAGGATTTTTGAGAAAAAAAAATCACAGGCAATAACTATAACTGATAGTAATTATCAGACATCGTTGAAATTTCTCCAGGAATGTCCACAAAATATTTTGAAAGTGATCAAGGGCCATAACTCTGACAGTAATTAAAGGAAATTGTTGAAAATCAATAGGCTTTTGCGTCTCATTAAATACAGTGAATTTCAATGTGCATATATAAAAACTTATTTTACTTGACAGTATAATTTCAATATAATCTGCACAAAACATCAACATATAACATAATCTACAATTATGCTACATAAATACCATGGATTATTCTAATTGCGAAATAGCCTACTCAATATAGGAGAATTTGATACTACCGCATAAAGTAATCAGTTTGTGTTACATATTAAGACATAGTAACATGCAGTTACCCAATACTTCAAGGGTGTATAGCTCTATTCTCTGGAACCTTAAAATAGACAAAATGTGTCTAAAATCACATATTATTTAATGTGATATGAATGTATATAAAGTAATTTATAGTCCATTTTTAAAAGATTTATTGTAATTTCTAATATATTATGTTCAGTGGAATACATGAACTGTCCAAATTATTATATTTTGTCGTCTGTGAATCAAATTTGAAATCACTAATTACTTCAGCATTCGGCGCATTGCCTTGTAAAATATGTTTGTCTTTGCTGATTACAAACGCGGCGGAAACCATAGAGTAGGCCATCTACACCTTGTGTACTGATTTTCAAATGTTCATTGTGTCTTAAATTATATCGGAAAGTAGGAACTAGGATCCTATATTTTCACGGTAAAATAACAACATCAATATTGATTGAAATGGACCAATATTGAATTGTAATTCATGTTTTTAATATCGAATATTATGGAAAATATTGAGTTAGAGTTAGCTACTTTAAAACTAAAAGCCTACATTGAGATGACTAAACCATATAAGCTTACCTGAACTGTGAATAATTCAAACTGATTAAAAACTTCCTTATATGATGAGCCACAGAAAAATTGGGCAATATCCAAAATTGGCTTTTGACCAACAATGACCCGACATACATTTACAAAGATAAGATTGTGTAACATCATATACAAATACCTTATATCATTATCTTTTTTCCACAAACATAAAATAAATAAACATTCTCAACGATCTTATAATACAAATCAATCTTGATGAAAATATATAAAATCAAATGACTTCTCCAATTTCCTTTTAACTTCCACACGGTTCTAGTAGGATAATCATAGACTCAATTACTTTTATATTGATTGGCTGACCAGGTACATGTATTTATAGGAAAGAATACAAAAACATGCCACACCCACTGTATATAGATGGCCTAGCATTTAAAGGAACCAACTGAGCTTTACTAATAGTTCTATACAGCATGCAGTTAATACCGGATCTCCTAACAGTAAAACTCCCATTAAACTGACTAGGTTTAGATTTGATTTGGGTTAAAAATAAAATTGTTCATTTCATTGCATTTTATATGATGATTAGCTTTGTGGGACAATAATTTGTGTGAGTTGAAAACTTTGTCTATAGCTCAAGCCAGTTTTAAAGATACATTCCCGGTTACAAACTGGGTGATTTGATGATATATTTGGACTAAAAACATATTCAAACTAATAAATTTAGTATAATTTTGCTTCAAATCCTTCTCAAAACATTGCAATTGTCAGGGAATAGCTGGTTATAAAAAAATCGATTAAAAGAGGTCATGTTTGTGTCACGTGACACAATGGGTGCGAGGTCGGAGGAGAATTCATTGCATACACAAGACGATGTTGCCTTTATCGCTGACTACTTATTACAAATATCAAAGTCTAATTAAATTCTCTGATTATCCACTGCCCACGTCTTTTTCCGTGATTTTTATCTCAGAAAGTGTTGTACTCTAATTCTTCATAAGTTTATTAAAACGTACATCAAACGCTCAATCTCTGCGTGCAACCTTCGACGTCACATGTGCAGATACTCCTAATCGTCGGGCTGTCGACGATTAGAAGTGTTTTTCAGGGAATCTTCATTAAGTTTATCAACATGTACATCAAGCGCTCAATCTCCGCATGCAACCTTCGACGTCACATGTGCAGATACTCCTAATCGTCGGGCTGTCGACGATTAGAAGTGTTTTTCAGGGAATCTTCATTAAGTTTATCAACATGTACATCAAGCGCTCAATCTCCGCGTGCAACCTTCGATGTCACGTGTGCAGACACTCCTAATCGTCGGGCTGTCGATTAGGGAAACCCTTACATTTTTGTCCTGTATGCTCTCCACGAGTGTTTTTCAGGGAATCCATTATTTTTCTAGTAAGATTGGATATTTCTACTTTCCATATATATATATATACCAAAATTGCCCTACTTTTATTGGAAATAACCACCTGATAAATACTTTTCTGGGAACGTAGCTTTAAGGTGTAACAGATTTTGTGATCTAATCGACACAGTAAGCCAAACATCAAACTAAAATAAGATGGAGAACTTGCCCCATCATTAACTTGAATAACACATCTCATCATCAACCTAATTCAATTATATATTTTTTTTTACCTTAAATCAACCAAATACAAACTGAGCATTATTCTTGCCTAGCTATTGACTTAAGACTAATCAAAATTAGGTTTTCTATTATTCTTTGGGTTTTTTTTATAAATGCTGTTAACATTTACACTACAGTACAGATGTGCAAAAATTAAATTCTAGCACAATAAAGATCTAGATTTGATTAAAATGGTGATATTTTGAAAATCAATTATTACCACCAGCGCAATTCTTCAGAAAAACAAATTAATATGTTCTTTTTTGTTTGTACATAGATTTGTAAAAAACACCTAAAATATAAATTTCTGTCTGCAGCCAAATGCATTTACCTGAATAATTCTTTATCCTACCTTTGAAGATCAGATAATTACTTTTGTAATTACTATATTGATTACTAAACGGTTCTCTAAACTGTAATGTTTTGGTGGTCATGTGAAGAGGTGGGAACAAGTCGCAGGTCCTCGAGCCAGAGTCGAGACCCAAGTCACCGCACCACGAGTCTGAGGTCGGTCCCAAATCATAGACTTTACTACCAATTAAGTCAAGCCAAGCCCCAAGTTTCCACAAACCACCACCAAGTCCGGTTCAAGTCGCATGTTCATCAAATGAATAAGGCAAGTTAGAGTTATGAATTTTATAGCGCAACATCAGACCTGGCAGCAAATTATAACTGTTCAATTCAATATGAATCTTTCTGTTTACAAAGAAACTAGGTTATTCGCTGCACAATTTCCAGAACTATTGTAAACACAACCTAATCAAAATGATTTTGCGAAAAGAGTACAGAAACCATGGACGACTTTACCTGTTTCTGGTAGTTGCTCTTTTAATTTGCCACAATTAAAGGAGTAATGAATATTATTTCAAGTAAAGGTTACGC